CGAGGGGCTGGAGCCCAGTCCTGGCCGTGGCCTTGAGTTGAGCTCACTGTTAGCACAGTCCCCACTCCTCCTCTGTCACCGATCACTGCCGCCCAGCCGTGGTCGCCACTCACCCTCAACTTGTTGTTGTTAATCCTCACCCGAGGACATTTTCCCATTGATTTTTAGACACAGTGGAAGGGAGAGAGAGAGACATCGATGCGAGAGAGACACATCAGTTGGTTGCCTCCCGAACCACCCTGACCGGGGCTGGGGATTGAACCTGCAACCCAGGTACGTGCCCTTGACTTGGAATCAAACCTGAGACCCTTTGGTCCATGGGCCAGTACTCCAACTGCTGAGGGCCAGATTCTCCTTTGAACGGAACAGAGAGATTTCTCTGCACGGTGGCAACGTTGGAAAAGCAAGAGGCCAGAGTGTCATCCGATGTTCCTGACACCTGCTGGCTGCCCCCGTGGTGGCTGTGTGGCCCCTGGAGGCACTGAGGTTGGAAAGCTCGGGTCTAATGTTGGACCTGTGGCCTAAGCTGCGGTGTCAACACCCTCCCCAGCCCACGCCCGTCAAGCTCCCCCCTCACAGGTGCTGTGGTTGGGGTCGGACACCCATGCTTGCTTCCTGGGTGTGAAGCTGGGCTTTATGCCTTACCAGCCGGGAGGCCCCTTCACCCCTCTGTGGCTCACTTCCCTCATCTGTAACGTGGGCATCATCGTGCATGTATCTGTTAGGGGTTTTATGAGGATTAAGTCATCTAGTTCATGCAAACCGTGTCGACCCGTGCCTGGAACAGAGCACTCCGGCCAGAGAAAATGTCAGGGGGCGACAAGTGGGGTGACGGCAGATCGGGGTGACTTGTCTAGGCAACGCCACACTTAGGGGTATGTGAGCTGAGGGAGGTAGGAGAGGGCACCCTCTGGGAACAGAGCGGGAGGAACAGTGTGTCCGGCAGAAGGAACAGCCAGGGTAGAGGTTCAGAGGCAAGAATGAGCTTAGCTGGCTCGGGGTCCGGAAGGAAGAAGCCCAGGGTGGCTGGAGCAGAGCGTCTGGGGTCAGGTCTGGGGCCGGAAGGCAGGCAGGGCCGTGGCCACAGGAGGTGTTCGGATGGGATGCAGGCGCTGTGGGAGGGGCTTCGGCAGCCAAAGGAAGAATCTGACCGACAGGACCCACTGAGCCTGGCTGAGGGCCAGCCCAGCCGCAGGTCTCTCTTCGGTTCCACAACCCCCCTCCCCACCAGCCTGGCCCAAGCCAGGCCCTCCTGGTCCTCTACGCATGTAACCCCCGACCCCAGAACCAAGCCCCAAGTCTTAAGTTGGCCCTGAGCCAGGGCGAGGGCTCTGGGGAGGGGGAGGCAAGGACGCAAAGCCGCAAGGGACCCCCCTGCCCTATGGGGGTCCACGCCAGGTCCCCGGGACCTGTGAATACGGCCTTATTTGGAGAAAGTGTCTTTGCAAATGTGATTCAGGATCTCACATTGAGATCATCCTGGACTTTCCACATGGGCCCCAAATCCAATGACGAGTGTCCTCGTAAGAGAGGCAGAGGGAGAGTGGGGACACAGAGACGCAGAGGACAAGGGCGGGCCGAGGAGGCCGAGATGGGAGTGACGCGCAGGCGGAGGGGAGGGGACCTCCCCGGGAACCTTCAGAGGGAGCCCAGCCTGCAGACGCCTTGCTGTCAGATTTCCAGCCTCGAGAACTGTGAGATAGCAACTTTCTGTGTTTTTTTATTTATTTTTATTTATTTATTTTTTTAGAGAGAGAGAAACATCAGTGAGAGAGAACATCGACTGGCCGCCTCCTGCACGCCCCCCACTGGGGATCGAGCCCACAACCTGGGCACGTGCCCTGACCGGGAATCGAGCCGGTGACCTCTTGGTGCAGGGTCGACGCTCCACCACTGAGCCACACCGGCCGGGCTTTCTGTGGTTGTAAGCCCCCCAGTCTGTGGTCATTTGTTTTGGCAGCCCCTCCTCACCAAGGACCCCACCGCCCCAGGCAGGAGGTTCAATCTCTCTCTCTGTCCTTGAAACGCCCCCTTTTACAGGCGAGAACACGGAGGCCCAGGGAAGGGAAGGGACATGGGGACCACGTCCTGCTGTCTCTTCTCCTGGCTGCATTACCTAGCCTACGCATTTGAGCAGGTTTTCAGAGCATTTAGAAATCGTCTGTTTATCTTACGGGAGGGTGCAAGTAGCAACGCCCCACCACCTGTCCATCCCCACATCCGTGGGGTCAGCCTGTGGGGTCCTGGCGGTGTGGCGCAGGGTAAGTCGGTTAACCCCCCGAGTTCTGGATTCCTCAGTTTTAAAACGGGGAGAAGACTGGCCCGGCTGGTGTGGCTCAGTGATTGAACCCAGGTCCATGGACCGAGAGGACCCAGTAGGATCCCCGGTCAGGGCACAGGCCCGGGTTGCAGGCTCGATCCCCAGTGGGGAGCGTTAAGGGGGCGGCCAGTCGATGTTCTCTCTTATCGACGTTTCTCTCTCTCCTCCATTCCTCTCTCTAAAAGATCAATAAAGACATGTTTTACATACATATAAATAAATAAAATGGGGGAGAAGACGGTGGTTGTGAGGAAACGGACGGTCAGCCCCCGGCCCCTCGGAGCCCACCTGGACCTCTGGCCGGGCCCGAGCACGTTCTTGCCGTGGGAGCCACAGTGGCCTCCTCAGGGAGGGGCCCGGGGGTCCTGGATAGATACCATCCTCAAGGCAGGTCCGAGCCCGAGGGGCCCAGCCGTCCAGCCTGGGTTAGGCCTCGGTTTATTCGCAGGGCGTGGGTCCGCGGCCGGCGGCGAACCGCTGCACAGAGCATGGTGGGAAGGCCAAAACACTGCTCTGCCGGCGCGTGAAAGCGCCCAGCCGGGACCCGCACCGCCCAGCCGAGACCGGACCCGCACCGCCCAGCCGGGACCCGCACCGCCCAGCCGGACCCGCACCGCCCAGCCCGGGACCCGCACCGCCCAGCCGGACCCGCACCGCCCAGCCGGACCCGCACCGCCCAGCCCGGGACCCGCACCGCCCAGCCGGACCCGCACCGCCCAGCCGGACCCGCACCGCCCAGCCGGACCCGCACCGCCCAGCCGGACCCGCACCGCCCAGCCGGACCCGCACCGCCCAGCCCGGGACCCGCACCGCCCAGCCGGACCCGCACCGCCCAGCCCGGGACCGCACCGCCCAGCCGGACCCGCACCGCCCAGCCGGACCCGCACCGCCCAGCCGGGACCCGCACCGCCCAGCCGGACCCGCACCGCCCAGCCGGGACCCGCACCGCCCAGCCGGACCCGCACCGCCCAGCCGGGACCCGCACCGCCCAGCCGGGACCCGCACAGCCCAGCCGGACCCGCACCGCCCAGCCCGACCGCGCACACGCCAGCCGGGACCACGCACAAAACCCCATCCCGGGCCCGCACACGCCCCGCCGGACCCGTCCCCCCAGCCGGGACCCACCCGCCCAGAAACACGGGACCCGCACCGCCCAGCCCGGGAACGCCGCACCGCCCAGCCCGGGAAACCCGCGACGGACCCAGCCCGGGACCCCGCACCCAGCCCCCCCAGCCGGGACCCGCAACGCCCAGCCCGTAGCAGGCCCCCGGAAGTCTGCCAACGTCCAGGCGAAGCCTTCCTTCTCGGGCTGTTCTGCCAGCACATCTCAGCTCCGAGGGCTGGAGGCGTGGGGACAGGCAGGTGGCATTTGCTGGGTCTCGCTTTCCCGGGAGGCACAGAAGTCACGGGGGTTCAGGCAGACAGGTCTCTGTTCCCCAGCACAGCCCCAGAAGCGAAGGTCAGCGCTGGAGATCCTGGGGTCCCAGACGCTGGGGAGGCCCGAGACCACCACCCCCCTCCCATCTCTCCACAGCTACCCCAGGAGCTGGGCCTGATGGAAAAACCTAACCAGGTGATGGGGCAGACGGCCCAGGAAGAGGTCAGAGGTCAGGGGTCAGAGGTAGAACATTTTATTGACTGGGTTCTCCCAACATCTTGCAACCTCCCCGCAAAGCCAGAACCCTGGACTTTGCCACCGTCCATCCACTGATCGGGAATAAAATGTGTCTCCCAAACATCAAAGGGCCTTGGAACAGCACAGAGGCAGGGGGTGGGGGAAGGGCTGCCAGCCAGTGGGGGATGGGGCTGAGGGGCCAAGCGGGGTGCTGGGCGGGGTCACCCAGAGGCTCTGCCAGGCCTGGCCAGCCCCTCGCTCCTCAGTTAAGGCTCATCGTGGTTCACAGTGAGACTGGCTGAGATTTGGCAGGGGAGACAGACAGACAGACAGGCGCCGTCCACCCTGGGCCTGACTCTCAAAGCTGGGAAGAGGGAGATGGAACGTCCCCGCCCTGTGCCCTCCCTCGGGACAGGGAAGCCCCTTCCCTGGAGAGGCAAAGGGTAGAGGCCTAGTCCCCCTTCACCTCCCCCAGGCCATTAGGAAGAGTCATTCATTCCTGGCTCAGAAGTTTCTAGAACACTGAGTGACCTTGCCCACCATGACTCCCAATTAGAACAATGTTTTTGAAATCAGAGAGTTGACTGGGGCCCATCAAACCAAGGAGTAAAAAAAAAAAATCGTTAAGATCTTGGTTTAAAAAGGAGATGCTGCCCGGCTGGTGTGGCTCAGTGGTTGAGCATCGACCCATAGACCAGGTCGCCGGTTCGATTCCCAGTCGGGCACGTGCCCATGTTGTGGGCCTGATCCCCAGTGAGGGGCGTGCAAGAGGCGGCCAATCGATGTTTCTCTCTCTGCCCCTCTCCTTCCCTCTCTAAAAATCAATAAAGAAAAAATATTTTTTTTAAAAAAAAAGGTGATGCTGCCTGGGTCAGTTTGACTCAATGGTTAAAATGTCAGCCTGCAGACCGAGGAGTCTCGGGTTTGAGTCCAGTCGAGGGCATGTACCTGGGTTGCAGGGTCAGACCCTGGCCCTGGTTGGGGTGGTTTGGGAGGCAACCAATCGATGTGTCTCTCTCACATATCCATGTCTCTCCCTCCCTCCCTTCTACTCTATCTAAAAATCAACGGAAAAATATCCTCGGGTGAGGATTAACAACAAAGGTGATGCTGCCTTCACTTAGAAACCTTGGGAGACCAGGCGGAGAGACCCCCGGTGTCCACTGCCCAGACGGGAGTGCGTGGTGGCAGGGGCAGGGCAAGATGCAGGGAGCAGGGACACACGGGGGCGCCGTGGGCTGGGCTCAGAGCCCGTGGGTGCCTCAGCCAAGCGGGCGCCAGGGCCTCCGACCGGCCTCGCGTCAGCTGTTGCCAGGCGGCTCGCTGGGGCGGGCTGTGCAGTCCGGGGCGGAGTCGAGCCCCAGCATCTGCCGCTGCACCAGCGTGGCGTAGAGGCCGCCCTGGGCCAGCAGCTGCTGGTGCGTGCCCTGCTGCACCACGCGGCCCTTGTCCAGCACCACGATGCGGTGGGCCTGCTGCACCGTGCTCAGCCGGTGCGCCACAATCAGCACCGTGCGCCTCTGCGGGTTCCTGTAGATGGCCTCCCGGATCTGGGGGAACAGGAGGGGCCGGCTCACGGGGGGGCCGCCGTGCCCACCGCCCCCGCCCTGCCCCGGCTCCGATCCCGCTCCACCACCTAGTGACACTCAACTGTTCTGAGCTTCCTGGGTCTTTGTTCCCGGGGAGGGTTCAGTGCCGGCAACAAGGGAAGCGCTCAGTGAATGACAGGTGGGCCCCAACCTGCTCCACCCTCTAACCTTGGTCTTGGTGGATGGGCTCACCGTCAGCCCCAAAGCTCATGCCCACAGAACCATCGCCCTCCCTTCCTCGTCCTCCCTTATGGCCCAAGTCCAACTCATGGCAGATCCCGTAGATCCCGTCTCCCCGGTACCTCGCTGTCCCATCTCTCCACCTCTACCGCCACTCCTGGGCGCCTGCAACCTTCCTGCTCGCTCCCGGGTCCATTCCCCGCATGGACTTAAAAATGTGTAATCAGCCCTGGCCGGTTTGGCTCAGCGGTTAGAGCGTCGGCCTGCGGTCCAGAGAAACCCGGGTTCGGTTCCCGCTAAGGGCGCGTACCTCGGTTGCAGTTTGTCCCCGGCCCTGGTTGGTTGTGCGGGTGGCAGCCACTCGATGTGTCCCTTTCACATCAATGTTTCTCTCTCTCTCTCTCTCTCTCTCTCTCTCTTCCTCTCTCTCCCTCCCACTCTATCTGAACAAAAAAATGGAGGAATGTCCTCGGGTGAGGTTAAAAAAAAATGTGTAATCACATCCAGCCGGTGTGGTTCACTGGTTGAGTGTCGACCCTGCACCAAGACGTCGCCAGTTTGATTCCTGGTCAGGGCACATGCCCAGGATGTGGGTCCGATCCCCAGTGGGGGGCATGCAGGAGGCGGCCAATCGATGTTCTCTCTCATCCATGTTTCTATCTCCCTCTCCCTCTCCCTTTCTCTTTCTCTAAAACTCAATAAAGGAAAAAAATTTTTTTAAATAAAAACGTATAATCACTTCTTGTTGAACTCCTGCTCGAAGCTCTCCAATGGCTTCTCGTCCACTTAGGATAAAACCCAAGCTCTCGGGAGTGTTAGGACTGCGGGACTGCTCTGTGTTGAAGACGGTAGACACACGGAATCTCCGTCTGTCAGAACTCACAGAATACACAATGCGACAGTACCCTCTAACGTAAAACCACAGCCTCTAGCCGGAGACAACGCGTTAATATTGCTTCGCCCATTGTAACTGACATACCACAATCAAGCCAGATGTTAATGATAGGGAAGGCCGTTTGTGGGGGGCAAAGGGGACACACGGGAATTCTCTGTACTTTCTGCTCAATTTTCTCGAAACCTAAAAGTGCTCTAAAAAATAAAATCCATCCCTGGCCAGTTTGGCTCAGCGGTTAGAGCGTCGGCCTGCGGTCCTGAGAGACCCGGGTTCGGTTCCCGCTAAGGGCATGTACCTCGGTTGCAGTTTGTCCCCGGCCCTGGTCAGTCGTGCGGGTGGCAGCCACTCGATGTGTCCCTTTCACATCGATGTTTCTCTCTCTCTCTGTGTTCCTCTCGCTCCCTCCCACTCTACCTGAACAAAAAAATGGGAAAATGTCCTCGGGTGAGGATAAAAAATAAATAAATAAATAAATAAATAAATAAAATCCAGCCCAGCCGGTGTAGCTCAGTGGACCGAGTGTCGTCCCATGGACTGAGAGGTCCTGGTTCAATTCCCGGTCAGGGCACGTGCCTAGGGTTGTGGGCTCGATCCCCAGCAGGGGGCGTGCAGGAGGCAGCCGACTGATGTTTCTCTCTCACATGGATGTTTCTCTCTCTCCCTAAAAAAAAAATCAATAAAAACATAGTTTTAAAAAGTAAATAAAAATAAATACATACATAAATAAAATCCATTAATCTTTTTAAAAGTCCAAACTCTGAACTAGAGCCCGAGGTGTTGTTTCTCCCTCTGACTCTGTCCTCGCCTCACCCTCCAGACACACCGGCCTCCAGACTCGGCTGTGGACCTGCTCTGAGCCTTTGCGCCTGCCTGCCCTCCTCCTGGGATGCCCTCACCCCAGAACTCCCCGTGGCTCCCTCCTTTCCTTTCGACGACCCCAGCCCTGTCGGTGGGCAGGGCACACTCTGGGCACATCTCACCCCATCCAACGCCTGCACCCAGAGATGGCCACACTCCAGACGGGCTTCTCCAGCACACAGCCTTGTCCGCAGGAGGCCCCAGCCCCCTAAATGCCCAGCATGACCAGGAGAATCGGCTATTTGTTCCAGCCAACACCCAATCTCCCTCTCAGAACAAGGGGCTTACACCACAAACCCTTCCTCTGTGCCTCTGATGTGCATGTGAGTATCCTAACTCAGGAGGCTCTTTCTCAAGGACCCGAGGTCATTCCTCTGTGTGTGACCAGCAGGGTGGACAGGGCCTCCGTCCCCCAGTGCCCGTGGGAGGACAGAATCCCAATTTCAAAGCAGCCGGCGGCAGACCTCGCTGGCCTGACCACATCCGCACTGGCCGGTGCCGTGTGGGTTTTCCCTGGAGCCTGGCTCTTGCCCACGGGCAACAGCTGCTGAATAAATCCGCGTCCCCAGCTCTGCCAATGCCTGGCTGCTTCTCCTCAACAACGCTGACCCCTCTGATCTCAGTCATGTAACTGGATTTTTAAAAAATTCCTCACCCAAGGATATTTTTCTGTTTATCATTAGATCGAGTGGGAGGGAGGGAGAGAGAGACAGAGAGAAACATCGATGTGATAGAGCCACATAGACTGGTTGCCTCCCGCACGACCCAACCAAGGCTGGGGACGAACCGAAACTGAGGTACGTGCCCTCGACGGGAACTGAACCCGTGACTCACTGACCCACGGGCCTACGCTCTAACCGCTGAGCCACACTGGCCAGGGCGTCGCATGACTGTCTCACTGTCTATGGAGCGCAGGCCACAGGCTGAACTCGTCCCTGGGTCCTTGTTTAGTATCTGTCTTGCCCCCTGAAACGGTAACATCACGGGGCAGGAGTTTTTATCTGGCTGGTCAGTGCCGGGATCGGCGCCGGGCCCCTGTGAGGAGCACCGTGAACACCGCCAGGCAGAGGACCGACCCGTGGAGAGACGACAGACGGGCACACGACTGGACCCTCCAGCCGAAACGCCCCGTCTGGGAAGCTGACGGTGCAGGAGAGCCCCTGGCCGTTCCCAAGCCCTTCCCAGCACCCGCCCGCTGCCGCACCACCGCCGCCGCCACTCACCAGGTGCTCGCTCTCCGCATCCAGAGCGCTGGTGGCTTCGTCCAGGATGAGGACGGGCGGGTTCCGCACCAGAGCCCGGGCCACGGCCACCCGCTGCTTCTGCCCACCGGACAGCTGGGCGCCCCTCTCCCCGGTCTCTGCGTGGCACAGGCACAGGGACAAGTGAGCGGGGCTGGGGAAGGCCGGGCAGCCCCGGGGGTGGGCGGGAGGCTCCCTTCCTCCGCTTTCCCTGCTGTGGTGGGACTGGGCTCCCCAGCAAAAGGGTGGTCACAAGGGCCACCGGCTGGGACCACCAATGGTTCACAAGGCACAAGAGGGTGCTCCGCCTCCCTGTTCGTGTGACGCCTGCACATTACAACCACATGCCGTTGGTACCAAGGTCATATTTTCTACCCATTAATTTGGCAAAATCCGAACGTGCGATAATACATTGTGCTGGTGTGGCTGCGGGGAGACGGGCACCCCTCCGTGGGCTGGGGTAAGCGCAGGGGTTTGACCCCTGTCGCTCCCAATAATGGGGCTGCCGGGCACACACCTCTGTGCCTATGTCTGCACTGTGCACGTCTGGGTCCCGATTACAAACGCACAGCCTTGTGCCAGCGAGCCCACCTCTGAATTGTCCCTACAGACCAACTTTTCCTACAGGTTGTGCGCGACTCACAGCAAAGCGCACGATTGCAAAACAACAACAACAGAGACAAAAATAACTGCTCAGATGTCCATCAATGGGAAACTGAATAAATTATTTATTAAGTGAAGTATTATCCAACTTGTACATTGGAATACTATGCAGCTGTTAAAAAAAGAACACAAAACCCAAAGTAGGTAGAAGGAAGGAAATAATAGAGATCAGAGTGGAAATGTGCCCGGCCGGTGTGGCTCAGGGGTTGAGTGTGGACCCTAAGAGGTCGCCGGTTTGATTCCCGGTCAGGGCACGTGCCCAGGTTGTGGGCCCGATCCCCGGTGGCGGGCATGCAGGAGGCAGCCAATCAATGTTCTTGCTCATCGATGTTTCTCTCTCTCTCTCTTCCTCTCCCTTCCTCTCAATAAAGAAAAAAAAAATAGAGATCACAGTGGAAATAAATGAAATGGAGACTAAACATAAAATAAGTGGGAAAGAACAATGGAATTAAGAACTAGTTCTTTGGCCCTGGCTGGTTTGCTCAGCAGTTAGAGCGTCAGCCCACAGACTGATGAGTCTCGGGTTCGATTCCAGTCAAGGGCACGAACCTTGGTTGCAGTTTGTTCCCAGCCCTGGTCGGGGTCGTGCAGGAGGCAACCAGTCAATGTGTCCCTCTCACATCGATGTTTCTCTCCCCCACCCCAGTCTATCTGAACAAAGATGGAAAAATGTCCTCGTGAGGATTAAAAACAAACAAACAAAAAAGAACTAGTTCTTTGAAAAGATAAGCAAAATTGATAAACTTTTAGCTAGAGTCATAAAGAAAAAAAGAGAGCGAGCCCAAATAAATAAAATCAGAAATGAAACACAAGTTACAACTGACACCACAGACATACGAAGGATTAAAGAATACTATGAATGCCCAGCCAGTGTGGCTCAGTGGATGGAGCATCGTCCCACGGACTGAGAGGTCCCAGTTCAATTCCTGGTCAGGGCACATGCCCAGGTTACAGAAAGGGGCGGGCAGGAGGCAGCCGATTGATGTTTCTCTCTCACATGTTTCTATCTCTCTTTTCCTTCCTCTCTCTAAAAAAAAAAAAAAAATCAATAAAAACATATTAAAAAAATATTACGAACAACCCAAAACCAATACATAACAATAAAAAGAAAAAATACTACAAACAATTAATATGATGACAAATTAAACAACCTGGAAGAAATGGATAAATTTCTGGAAACGTGACCTTCCAAGACTGAACCAGAAAGAAACAGTTTGAACAGACTAATTATGAGCAATTAAATTGAAGCGGTAATAAAAAAACAACAACTCCCAACAAACAAAAGACCAGAAGGCTTCATGGGTGAATCCTACCAAACATTTAAAGAAGAATGAATACCTATCCTTCTCAAACCACTCCAAATAGTCGAAGAGGAAGGTACATTTCCAAACTCACTCTACACCACCACTGTAACCCTCACACCCAAACCAGACAAACATACTACAGTAAAAGAAAATTACAGGCCCATTTACCTGATGAACACAGACGGAAAAATTATCATCAAAACATTAGCAAACCAAATCAACAATACAGTGAAAGGGTTAGACGCCATGATCAAGTGGGATTTATTCCAGGGTTGCAAGGGTAGTTCGATCCCCGCAAATCAATCAACATGATAAAAATCATACGACCACCCCAACAGATGCAGAATAAAACATTTGACCAAAAAATAAAAAGAAGGAACAAGGAAGCTCTCCAGGCACCAATGTAAAGGTCAGTAAGATACTGTGTTTAGTTTAAACAGCCAGGTGCAGAACAGAACCTGCTGTTTCTTTTCTGTGAAAGGGCGGGAGGAAATGAAAATATATATTTACGCTTGCGTATGGAAGTCCCAAAGGACATGCAAGGAACCACTGGAAGAAGTCTTGGCGGGGGCAGGAGAGGGAGGGTGCAGTGGAGGGTACCTGTATCGTAGCCGTCCTGCAGCTCTTTGATGAAGTCGTGGGCGTTGGCCTTCTGCGCAGCCTCCACCACCTTCTCGAAGGGCACGGCGGGCAGGCCATAGGAGATGTTGTCTGTGACGGAGCGGGCGAAGAGCACCGGCTCCTGGCTCACCAGGGAGATCTGCGGAGCAGGAGGAACAGGAGGTGTGAGGCCGGGAACACGTGCAGCCAGCTGTCACCAGGCACCTCGCCAGCCCCAGGCCCGGCTGGCGCCAGGGGTCTCAGGTCTGGAATCTGACCAGGGCCTGCGCCGGCTGCTGCGTTCAGCTGATCTTCTCCCGGCAGCGGAGGCCGCCGTCTGCAGAGCCCCCGGCCCCCTGGCCAGCAGCCTGGGGCCCCCAAGCTTGCCGCTCTCAGCCAAGCCGAGCTCCCTGACGCTGTCTGCCCTGCCCTGGACAAGGACAAGGAGGAGAAGGCGGCGGGCAGCTCTGTGAGTGCGTCTTCGTGCTGGGAGGCAGGAGGGCGCAGCACGGCCCCCGCCACCACCTCGCTCCCTTCCAACAGAACAACTCAAAGCAGCTGTTGTCCCGGGGTCCCCGTTTCAGGGATGTGGCCTACAAAAAAATGACAGTATTGCCTGGTCAGTGCGGCTCAGGGGATGGAGCGTCGTCCCAGGGGCTGAGAGGTCCCTGTTCGATTCCCGGTCAGGGCACATGCCCAGGTTGCGGGCCGGGTGCCCAGTGCGGGGCATGCGGGAGATGGCCAACTGATGTTCTCTCACTGATGTCTCTCTCTCTCAAATCAATAAAGAAAAAAAGTTTTAAGAACGGTTAGAAACAAAACAATCGGTGTTTCTTGTGCCGTGTGCACCTGAACCACCATGCAGGGCTCTGTCAGCGTCGAGTCTGGCACTGAGGCCCTCTCCTGAAAGGGTCACTCGGAGCTGTCTGGTCACCCACGGCCTCTGTGAGGGACTGGACACGGCTGAAATGTGGGACCGCTAGAACACTCTCCCACTGCCGGTGGGGCGTGACGTGGGGCGACCAGCCTCGTGGCAGCAGCCTCGAACGCGTGGCTGAGCATCCGCTCTGGGAGAACACCCACTCTGTGTGCACCAGGACACGGGCCAACCTGTCTGTGTCAGCATTGCTGGCACCGGTGAAAACCGGGAAACCACCCCATACCCACTGAGAGCAGAATGCAGAAACACGGCGACACGCTGACATGGTGGATTATCAACCAGCCACGATAACGAACGAACTGCAACCACGGCCTCAACCTGATGACTCACAAGGAATGTCACGGGAAGCAGCCAGGCCCTGACGAACACACGGGTTATGATTCCAACTGCCCCCCCCCCCCCGGATCTGTAACTTGTCTCCTGAGCCCATGCAGCCCAGCTGGCTCACAGCTTCTACCCCTGTGACTTTCTACGTACACTTTCGCTTGTGTTTGAAATGAAAGAGAATGAAACGATGATCGTAAAAAGCCGGGCAAGGTGTTCTGGGGAGCCTCCTGGAGTGCCAGAGTGCTCTGTTTCTTGACCTGGGTGGTGTTTAGGGTGGTGATTAGTCTTTGAACCTCACCCATACCCGAGGCTCTCCTCCAGGTCTGTGCTACCGCTCCCGGAGAAGCTGGGAGAAAGCAAGGGCAGAGGCAGCGAAGGCCGCCACCTACCACGCGGTGCAGGAACTTGTGGTCATAGGCGCTGATGGACTTCCCATCCAGCAGCACGCGGCCCCCCTGCAGGGGGTAGAAGTTCTCCAAAATGTTGACACAGGAGCTCTTCCCGCTGCCCGAGGGCCCCACGAGCGCAGTCACCTTCCCTGGGGACAGGCTGAAGGACACATTCTGCAAGGAACACGCAGACACAGTGCAGGGCTGGCTCAGGCGCTCTGGCTCCAGACACAGGCAGGTGCCTGCCCCAGCCCAGCCCAGCCCACGCGCCTCTGCACCGTCCGCGCTGCTGGCTCCCGGAATGCTCTCCTTCCTGGGATCGGGCAGCATTTCCATACTTGTTTCCTCTGCCTGGAATGCGCTTTCTGCACAGCAACCAGACTGGTTCCTGCTCCTTGTTCAGGTCTCAGCTCAAAGGCCACCTCCTCCAAGAAGCCCTCCTTGACTGTTACATCACCCCTGCAGATGACTCCTACCACACCACCCTTCTGTTAATAACCCGCCTCCCCTGACTAGAGCCCGAGCTGCACGGGCGCAGGGACGCTGCCTGGCCTATTCCTGGCTGCACTGCCACGGCCTGGCAGGGGCAGGGGTGAGAGACGGGGTGAGGGAGAGGAGGGTTTGCGCAGGCCTCGAGCCCCCTCACCTGCAGGACTTTGGTGTGGGGCCGAGTGCGGTAGGTGAAGGTCACGTTTTCAAAGTCCACGCGGCCCTCCACGTGGTCAGGGGCCAAGTTCCCGTCAAGCACCATGGTTGGCTGACGGTCGATGAACTCGAAGACCTTCTCGGCAGCCCCCACTCCTTGCATCAGGCTGCTGTAGATAGAGCCCATGGACTGCCCGCGGTGCAGGAGAGGGCGTGCGGGAGAGCAAGGGCGCGTCAGTTCCGGGGACGTGCGAGGCTGCTGGGCCCCGCCTGCTAGTTCGTCGGACAACGAAACGTGAGGACAGAAGCGACAGTGCTGATGCATTAGGGGCCAGCGCCTCGCAGCCCTTCCAGCCTGGCCCCGCCCCGCAGGGGGCGCTGTCCCCTCCCAGGAGGAAACGGCACCGAGTCACACAACCAGCCAGAATGTGGCAGGACAGAAACAGAGCCTTCCTCCTTCCGCCGCCGCAGCGTTGGAAATGTTCCGATTACAGAAACGAGTCTTAATGTGCACTCTCCATCTCCTTGGGTAAGAGAAGTGCGCGCAACACAAATGCGAATGAGGAGATGGGGGGCACAGAGACCTCAAGCAGCTTCCCCCGGTCACAGAGCCGAAGGGGCAGAGCCAGGACTCGGACCCAGGCCTGTAGGTGCTGTAAGTGGAGGGAACATCGGTACCGGTGCCACGGTTCTGTGACGTAAGCCCTCGATACACCACAGCTGTGACTGTCACCATTAATACCAAGATGATGATGATTATTAAAGATATCAGTGCTGCCCTGGCCGGTTTGGCTCAGTGGTTACAGAGTCGGCCCATGGACCAAAGAGTCGCGGGTTCAATTCTGGTCAAGGGCATGTACCTCGGTTACGATCTGATCCTGGGCCCTGGTCAAGGTCACGCGGGAGGCAACCAGTCGATGTGTCCCTCTCGTGTTGATGTTTCTCTCTCTCTCCCTTCCTCCCTCTCTGCCATTCTATCAAAAAATCAATGGGAAATATCCTCTGGTGAGGATTTAAAAAAAAAAACAAAAACAGACATAATCTGAAAAAACCCTTGTCTTTTTTTCCATGATGCTGTGCTTTGAGGTGGGTTAAAATAAAGTCAGACTCGTCTGGCTTTGGATCCAGGCCCCGCAGAGACAGGCGGCAAGTTGCCCAACCTCTCTGAGCCTCAGCTTCCACTTGAGAAGTGGGGACAGCACCGAGACCTCTCGTGAGCATTTTTTTTTTGCATTTATCTTCAGATAGAGTGGGAGGGAGAGGGGGAGGGAGAGAGAGAAACATTGATGTGAGAGTCACATTGAGTGGCTGCCACCCACACAACCAACCAGGGCCGGGGACAAACTGCAACCGAGGTACGTGCCCCCAGTGGAAACCGAACCCGGGACTCTCTGGTCTGCGGGCCGACGCTCTAACCGCTGAGCCAAACCGGCCAGGGCTCTCATGAGCATTTGTAAATTGAACTTGTTGGGGTGACATTGGTTAATGAGATTACAGCTGTCAGGCGTACAGCTCTGTGGGACGTCATCTGTGCACTGTCCTGTGTGCTCACCACCTCGTGAGCACTTTCTGAAATGATCTTTGTTGCTGTCGCTGTTGGCTTGATTGTCTCTCCCCTACTGCTTTAGAAAGAAGTATGCATCCCTCGTGCCCCGGGGCACCCTGTTCAGATCCCTCGTCTCCACACAGCCCTCACTCCCCTGGACCCCGTCCACCAGCCCCTCACCTCCATACAGTCTCCCAGGGCCAACGCGTAGATAACAAAGGAGACGAGGTTGCCGCCGGTCATCTGCCCGGAGATGACGAGGTGGCCTCCATAGTAGAGGACACTGACCTGGACCACCACCAGCGTGAGCTGGAGGCAGAGAGAAGGGGCCGTTTGTCACGGGAGGCTTGGCTCACACCTTCCCACGGCCTGATCCCAGCCCCCCGGCTGCAGGGGTGCGGGGGGGCGGGGCAGCTGTGGGCCCTGCACACCCAGCCATGAACTGAAACCCAGCCAGCAGTGCTTCCCACAAGCTGGAGCCTGTCTGTCACTCTCACCCCCCCCCCCCCCCCGTGGAGTTTTTCCCTGTGAAGGTCCCCAGCTGAGCTGGCTGCGGGCCTGGCTGGGAACAAGGCTTTCTTTGTGAGGCCTGGCACAGCAGACCCTGAACCCTCAGCCCAAAAGGCACCCTGCCGGTGGACAGACTGCCCGGAAGCTTGGCTGAGCTGGGTTTCAGGCCCTTCTCCTTCCTGGCTGGGCACTTCTGAGGGGTGGCCTGCCCTGGGGGACCCAGCCTGTCCCTGTCCCTGGCTCCCCTATAGACCACCAGCTCCTCCTTCCCCTAAACTCCAAATTCACATCTTTCCTAGCCCAGCTGTTTCCCGATGAGCCCGTCTTCCAGATGCGGCTGGCAAGCACGCCAGGGGCCACGTGACCCATGCCCGTCCCTGGAAGTGAGCCAGACACTCACGACACGGGAACGGCCAGGACGGCTCTTGCTGGGTCCGGGCTGGCTCGGGTGGCTCCTGCCTTGGCAGGACATTTCCCCAGCTGAAGGGCGAGCCCCCGCCCCGCCCCATGTGCACAGGGCAGAGATCTCTGGGACGTGCACCAGGGGCTGACTCTTTCCCGGAGAGCTCCATGCACACACAGGAAGCTGAGGCAGAGAAAGTCAAGTGCAGGGACCGGGCTAACGTCCAGGGCAAGGGACCCCATCTTCATGGTTGCGCCCGCTGTGGCCGGGGACACATACCCCACTGCTCCAGGTGTAGTACATGTGGGCGGCCGCCTGCTTCCTGTTCAGCTTGTACACCTGCTGCAGCTTCTGTGCGTACACCTCCGCCTCCACCTCCTCGTTGGCAAAGCTCCGGACCGTCTTCATGGCACCGATGGTCTCCTCGGCTACGCTGCTGGCTCTGGCCAGGGCGCTCTGGACCTCTTTGGAGAGCCTCTGCGCAGGAGAGCCAGGGCAGGGTCAGGCCCAGTCCCTCCCTCGCCTGCGCCCTCCTAGCGTGATCTGACGGACTTAGGGGCCAGGCTCCGGCTGGACCCAGGGAGCGACTCCCAAGGTCCCAGTCCCTGAGCGGGGGGCTGATCGCTAAGTCACCTCCAGTCATCAGAGGCTACTGGTAGTCACAGTTTTGGGTGATCTTTTCAGAAAAGGAACCTCAACAGCTGATGCTGTGCGGACAGAAGAGCAACGACGCCCCTGGGTGGCTGGCCGGGTTTGTCCACAGCAAGGACACGCCACTATAAAGGGGGCGCATTGACGTCATCCACGCACGTGAAACCAGGAGGCCCTGAGGGTTGGCGCAGAGAGTCCAGAACTCCCGGCCAAGTCCCAGACGGTGGCAGAGGGCACTGGCTGTAAGGTTTGCCCGTGCGTGATGCGTGGCGGGGCTGGTGGCAGAGGCGCGGTTCCAAACGTGTGGCCAGGCTGCTGCCCACCGGAGTCCTGGAAGCAGACCCGGCAGCGCTGTTCAGGCTCCGCAGTAGCCACCACTCTGAGATCCGCACACGGCCGGCGGCGGCCCGCGAGGCCAGGCCAGGCCAGGACCGGTGCAGCACAGCCCACGACCTGTGAGCCCCGCCCAGCCGCGGGGACCCCGCAGCGCATTCAGCACCCGGGCGGTGCGGTGTCCCGGGCTGTGGGCGGTGGTGCTGACCAGGCGGCTCTGTGCAGCACAGGCAGGTCCGGGAAGGAGGCTGGCGACCCTGCCCTGGAGGCCCCGCAGGGCCGAGCCTGGGGCGGGGCCTGAGGTGCGCAGGAGGGCTGGCCGGGGGCAGCTGGGTTTCCTGTCCTGTCCTGGGGGCTGGGGCTGGCGGGAAGGCAGGAAGGGCGGGGTGGGCAGCACAGGAAGGGAACTGGCTCCAACTCCGACTAACGTATTTACTTTCTCTGCCCAGAGAGGAAAACAGTGAGGCCCGGGACCCAGACCGCTGGCGAGCGGGCCCCCTGGGTGGTGGCCTGCCAGGGCCATGCAGGGGTTGTGGGGAATGGGCTCCTTTGGGAGGCTGGCCTCAGGGCACAGACACCAAGGGTTCAGAGGAGCTGCTCATGCCAGAGCCTCTGCTCAGGAGTACGCCCACCCCTCGGGCCTGGATCCCCGGGGAAGGGGCCTTCTGCCTGGGTCCCTCAGGGCTCAGGGGCACCTACCAACACGGGAAGCAGGAGGGTGCGCCCGGGCCTGGCTCTCGGGCCCGCCTTCCCCGCAGAGGCCGGACCAAGGGCTGGCTGGAGGGGCCGCAGCCTTCCCTTCCCTGCACCCCGGGCCAGGGCTTTGCTCATGGGCTCGAGCCACCCCCCTGAGAACAGACTCTACAGAAATGGTGGAAACCAAAGTCCCCACAAAGGCCTACGCTGTCTGGCCCGTCACCTCCGGCCTCATCTCCTGGCCTCTCCCCTCACTCATTGCTCCTCAGACACGCGTGCACCCCGGGGAGGAACGGCTGTGTCCTCTGCTCGGAACGGAAGGCTCTTCTCTCAGGTGGCCGACTGGATGCAAATGTCACCTTCTCAGAAAGATCTACGTAAAGCCTCAGCTGCCGCCAATCCCTCTCTTCCTCGCTTCGCCTTCCTCCTGAGCACTCCGGTCTCTCACACGCTACACGTCACCACTGCTGTCACTCACCCTCTGCACTCCCCCCAGAACACAAGCTCACTGAGGGCAGGGGCCTGTCTGCGTCACGCTGCATCTTGGCACCTGGGACGTGGCAGGTGCTCAATAAATATTCACTGAGGGACAAGTCCTTCCCTAGCTCCCCGGGGTCCCGAACCCCTTCTGAGGGTCACCCAGAGCCGCGTTGCCCACCGCCTACCTTGTAGTACTTGCCGTAGACGTTGGACACCATCATGATGATGAGGAAGCCCATGAAAGCGACCACGGACAGCTGCCACGAGAGGCTGAACACGAAGAACACCACGCCCGTGGCCTTGACCGCGTTCCACAGGAAGATGTTGATGTTGTGGGAGATCACGTTGCTGACCACGGTGGTGTCCGTGGTGAGGCGGGAGATGAGGTCCCCTGGAACCCAAGGAGCTCAGCTCCTGAGGCGGCAACGGGGCGACTGCAGGCAGGGGCAGGGGCACCAAGGGGCACTGGGCAGCGCGGGCCTCCTCCACTTCTCGGGGGTGAGGAGGGAAGAGTAGATGCCCCGCGAGGGCTGCTCTGAGCCCAGCCCTTGCCACCAGCATGTGTGACATCAGATCCCACAGCACAGAGGAGGGGCGGAGGGTCAGGACAAGACGCCTGCTCGGGCCGCACAGATCATCTGTGACTGAGCTGGGACCAAACCGTCTGTTCCCTGTCACTAGTGGAGGGGGCAGCTCCCCCCCCGCCCCGAAATAACAATCTGAGTTGCAGGAGGAGGAGGGAGCTGAGATCCCGTCACCAGTGGCTGGACACTGGGCTAAGAGCTTCACAACCCTGGGGTGTGGCTACTACTCTGAATGTTCCCATTTCAGAGCTGAGAAAACAGAGGCCCAGAGGTTAAGCTGGTGAGTGGGGGAGCCAGGGCTTGGGCCCAGGCCGGTCTGTCTCAGAGCCTGTAATCCTGGCCGGACGCTGCTCTGCCCGCACCGCCACCCACTCGCTGCAGAGGCTCTGGGCCCGTCGGGCCACAGGCTGGGCAGTCCTGGCCGCTGTGGTTCCCAGAGGGCAGTGGGAAGCACGGCCCTGGCTGCTGCAAGGCCCTTGGGTGGCCTGGCCAGAGTCCTAGAGTGGCCACAGCTCACACCAAAACCTCGGCCGGCAGGCCAGCTCCCCGGGGCTCAGGCCATCCAGGGTCCAAGCCCACCCCGGGATGATTCCATCCTGGACCAGACGGTGGGAAAAGCCAGCAGGGCGGGGACCACAAACACACCCGTCTATTTGCTCACCTCGAGGTAAGCCCACCCTGCCTGAGCCGCCGGTCAGCCAGGCCCCAGGGACCAACCTGTGCAATTCTCGTCAAAGAAGCTTGTCTCCTGAGATACCAGCGAGCGGAAGAGAAGGTTTCGGAGGCGAATGTTCAGTCTGGCAAATACGAGGGTGAAAATGCCGCCCCGAATACCTGTGGCAAACGAGCTAATTGCAGATGAGAGATGTTATAAACGGCACGACAGCCTCCTGACAATTGACGACTCAACTCGCTGCCCCTCCCGCTGTTGGCAGGGTGGGGGGGCAGGACCCCAACCCTGACCCCACTCCCAGGGCTCAGTCCCAAACCGGAGCCCCCAAGGTGAGGGTGAAGAGGGGATGTTTGTTGGGGGCAAGGGACCCACTTTGCCGGCGGGACCCCTCTCCTTCCGGGAAAGCACAGACAGGCTGGCCCTGGTCCCCGCTCCGCAAACAGCAGGGAGGGTGAGAAGGGCACCCTGGAGGGGTGTGGCTGAACCAAATGGACCTGGGGCAGAGCCAGTTTGGCTGCTGGTTCCTACGGTAAGCAGCTGGGGACAGGCCCAGCAGGGGCATTTCTTGGGCCTCTCTGGCTCATCTTCCCCTTGGGAGCTGCCCGACCTCCTCCCCTGCTGCAGGCCTGGGAGCTGCTACCTGCCGAGGGCCAGCAGACAGGTGAGGACGACCGCTGAGGTGAACTGCTCCATGCTCTTCTGGATGATGACGCCGTCGATGGCCCGGCCAATGTAGTAGGGGAAAAGGGTCTCTCCTAATGGGAGACAGGGGGGTCAGGGGTGTCTGCAGCCAGGGGGGCTGGTACCCTTCCCCCGAGGCCCCAGGAGCCCACGTCTTCTCACCATGGGGCGCGGGGGGCTGTACTGCCGAACGCCCCGCGCTCCCGGGGAAGAGGGGCACAGGAAGCGCCGTCTGCGATCTGCACTGACCGTGCTGGTGTCAGTAACGGCTGCGGGGCACCGAGCGGCTGAGCCAGGGGGCTGGGGCGGCATCCCCACCCTCGGTGCCGACTCTGCAGCTGGTCCCTGTGTCCCCACCTTACAGCTGAGGAACGTGAGGCTGAACAGCTGAGCTGACGCTCACCCAGGCCGACGGACGCCGAGATTCACGTCCCTCTTGCCGGGGGACGGCTCGGAGTCCGAATTTTATTCTGGTCCCTGCAGTACTGGGAACTGTCCCCTGCTCCTCTCCGTGGGGTACTTCACGGTTTGCCGGATTATTTTCTACCCACTTGTCTTATTGTGCCCTCACAACATCCCTGGGCAGGTAGAGGGGTTCGAGAGAGGTGTCACCCCCTTTCACAGAGGTGGAATGGGAGGCTCAGGGGGGCTGGGTAATCTGCCAGAGGTCACACAGCAACTAAGAGAAAGGGCCAGGCCCTGGCTGCGCTGGCTAAGTGGTGAGAGCGTCGGCTCGTGGACACAATGAGTCACGGGTTCGATTCTGGTCAAGGCCACGTACATCAGGTGCGGTTCGTCCCCGGCCCTGGTCAGGTCAAGCGGGAGGCAGCCGTCGATGTGGCTCTGTCGCATCGATGTTTCTGTCTCTCCCTCCCTCCCTCCCTCCCACTCTATCTAATGATGAACAGGAAAGTATCCTCGGGTGAGGAACAAAAAAATACAAAAGAGGAAGGGCCAGGACTCAAACCCAAGCCAGCTCCCAATGGGGGAGGGGTGTCTTCCCGTGCCCCCGCCCTCCCCCGAATCCAGAATGCCGACTCCCTGCTGCGGAAACAAGGAACGCGGCCTGGAAGGTGCCCGCCCGGCCGGGTCTCCTGCTTCCTTGCAGCTCTTCCCGCAGGCGCACAGTAGGCACGCAGTAAAGGTCAGTGGACGACTCCTGGGCTCCACGGGGCTGGCTCAGGCGGACAGTGAGGCCTTTCGTGGGGTTCTGGTGCCCCCTGCTGGTGTTGGCGCAGGGGACCATAGGCGGCAGTCTCAAGGGCCTTAGTCTCCATGGAGTCTCTAGCCACTGCCATGGGTTCTGCCTCAGTTTACCCACCGGGGAGGAAAGGGCACACGCTAGCTCCACAGCATCCTGACCCCGGCAAGCTCCAGTGAATGCCAGAGATGCCACACAGAGTTCACGCGCCCTTACGGGGTGTGGGCACTGTGCTAGGCAAACCCTCTCGTCCAAGCTTCACAGGGGCCACGCGGGACTCTCCAATCCATCGGCAAATCCTGCAGCTCCACCTCCACAATATTCCCAGACTCTGGCCACTGTTACTGCCTCCACCGCCCCACCTGGGTCCGAGTTGCCGATCTTGCCTGGATACCTCAGTAGCAACTCACGCTTCTCCCTTTTCCTGCCCTTACGCCCATCAGCCTCTCATCTCAGGCAACGGCAGGAGCCTGTGAAACCGAGATCAGACCTTGTCGCCTCTCAGCTCAAAACAGTCCCACAGCTCCCATCTCATCCAGGGAACAGTCGAAGTCCTTCAGCGGCCGATGCGCCGTGCAAGATCGGGCCCGTCACTGACCCGCTGCTCCAGCGACGATGGCCCATGCTATTCCTTTAACAACCAGGCACCTTCCTGCCTCAGGACCTTTGCACAGGCTGTTCCCGCTGCCTAGAGTACTGTCCCCCAAGATATCTGCTCCTTTATCTCTTTCAAGTCTCAAACACCTGCCACTAATCCTATAGGTATGGTATTATTACTCTTCCCATTTTACAGATGAGGAAACTGAGGCTCAGAGAGGTTAAGTCACTCGTCCAAGTTCATGTAATTGGGTTGCCACGAAATTCATATAAAAATACCTCAATTTAATAGGAGATACTCAACATTAGTCACGGAAGCAAATGAGAGAAGAGGCGCTGTGGCCCTTAAGAGCCGAGTGCCCGCGGCCCCTGGGTGCTCACTTACCCAGAGCGGCCAGGACGAGGAAGAAGGAGGCCGCCGCGAGGAGGGCACCGTCGGGCCTGGTGTAGGACAGCAGCTTCTTCAGGGTGACCCTGGACGCCTGCTCCGACGGCGGCTGGTCGTCCCCGGGCAAGCCCTCGGCCTCCGCACCTGCCCCCAGCTCGAGGGGCCTGGCGTCCGGCTGCACTGAGGACAGCAGCCGCCAGAGCAGAAGCGATGCAGCGAGGGAGAGGTAGGTCCACACGAAGAGGGCCCAGAACCACGGGTCCCGAACGGGCTTGTGGACCTCGGAGAAGAGCAGCAGCTTCACCATGGTGTAGATGCCCGCGAGGAGGCACACCAGGGCCATGACCGTCTGCGAGGCCCGCAGACGCCGGGGCCCCACGGCGCAGCTCCTGGCCACGCCGACGGTGGCCCCCAGCAACACGCAGCTGCGGTACAAGCAGGCCGCCCAGAGGTCCACCACTGAGGCAAAGATGTTGAAGTGGCGGATGTCCTCCACCAGGCTGCGGTCCGGGTGGCTGAAGAGGTAGATGGCTGTGGTGACGCCGACGTCTGTGCTCAGGAAGGCCAGGGTCACTACCACCGCCTTCCACAGCTGCATCCTGCGGGCTGGTGGTGGGCAGGCACCAGGGGGCAGGCTCTAGCTCATGGGGGGCAGAGCCACTGCCTGTGGGGTGAGGCCAGACCTGCAAAAGGGTGAGGGGTTCAGGTTTGCTACTGGCTGGCTGTGTGACCTTGAGCAAGTCACTGGGCCTCTCTGGGCCTCAGTTCCTTCGGCTGCAGAATGGCAATGACAAGAGAACTGACTTCACTGGGGTGTTGTGAAGATTCCACTTATTCAAGGGAAAGTCACTAGCGCCCTCTGTGGGCCAGACGCTGTTCTTTGTGTTGAGGATTTAACAATGCACAAACATAACAAAGAGCCCTGCTCTTGTGTAGAGGACACATTCATGCCAGACATAGGGAATAAACAGAATAAGGAAATGACACAGTACGTTAGAGGTGAGGGCTGGGGATGGGGAAACAGTGGGGAAGAGATGGAGGGCCATGGGGGTGAGGGAGGCTTTATAGAGGGTGTGCCAGCCAGGGAACAGCGTGCTGTCGAGGCAACACGGGCAAGACAGAAAGCGGTGAGAGAGTCCGCCGTGTGGCTAGCTATGCGGGAAAAGCATTTTGGCCGGTGGAACAGACCGTGCCAGAGCCCTGAGGCAGGATGGTGCGGACGTGCTTGGGAGGCACGGAGGCCGGAGGAGGTCAGAGAGGGATCTGAAGGACTTCGTGGCTGAAGCTGAGACAAGCAAAGAGCACAATAAAGGGTGGTGGTTTTTACTACGACTATCGCTGCTTTCATGTCACCGGCCTGGTTCCTCCTTCCTCAAACGTCAGCATGAAAATCCGGGCACGTGCCTGGCAGGAGGAAACTCTGCTGGTTGCTATCAACACACACAGCGGGTGCTCGATAAACGTTCTCTCCTCCCCAAATAAACACGAACCTTCTTAGAACAAGAGGGGGTGGCTGCAGGCCCTAGAGCAACCCGCGGACTTCCACATCTGCCAGGAAGTTTCCAGAATCTTTCCTTCCAGTCCAGGCTGGCTCTCACCCCCAGCCCTCGGCTCGTTTAGTTTTCCGGAGCTTGATGTCAGCTTTGTCTAAAGCACTCCCACGCTGAGCCCCTCTGGACTCAGCCAGGGCTGGGAGGCCCCAGGAGCTGCAGGGGCACCGTGGGACGCAGGCCTGGCGGCGTGAGTTTGGGACTGGGCTGGGGTGTGCCTCTGAGTGCTGCCTCCTGATCTGGGTCTGCTCCTTTTTCTCGGGGTCTTTCCTGCCCCGTTTGCAAAATGAGCAAAGCTCTGGGTTCCCAAGGGGAAGGGTGAGGTCTGGGGCAACAGGAGAGGTGACTGAGGGGTGCCTTGGAAGGGGGGCCAGCGGGAGAGATCCCCCCACAGAGTGACAGAAACCCCAGGCAACGCCAACAGGCCGGTGTCTCCACCTCCCCATTTACAGTTGGGGAAACTGAGGCACAGAAAGGCGAGAGTATATGCCTCACATCACTCCGCCAACAAAGCCCAAGCCGGGCCCTGAGGGGTCTGGGAGGGGTCCCAGCATCTGACTGAGCCCCTGTGCTGTCTGCACACAGCAGGTGCCCGTGACCACGAGCAAAGGTATGTGAGGCCGCGCCTCCCGTGAGCCCGGCCCTTTACGTCACCACACGCTTTGCATGTATTTGCTTATAGAGTCGTCGTTCGCCCTCCCGACAACATTGAGAGACACGCATCGTCATCATCCCCATTTAGCAGGTGGAGAAACTGAGGCCCAGAGAAGTTACTGACTTGCCCAAGATCACAAAGCTGGTGAGTAGCAGAGCTGGGATTCGAACCCAGGCCACAGAGTTCCAAAGTCTGTGCTCTCAACTCCAAAGTCCTAATCCTTCAAAACACCCTCTCCTACTGGTGCTGAGGAGGGGTGTGGGGTGCAGAGAGGACCCAGGGGTGTGACGGTCCCCAAGCCTGAGCCTGCCTGCACACCAGTACTCTAGACAGACTCAAGTCTGTCCCAGGGAAGGCCGCTGTCCCTCCAAAGGAAGCCAGGGCTGAGTAAGACAAGGGGTGGGGACCGGGACAGACACCCCTCCAGGCCTGGCTGGGCTGCCAGTGAGCTCCAGCCGGCAGCAGTGCAGAGGCCTCGGGGAGCCAGTGACGGCTGAGCTCCAGCCGAAACCCAGGGAGGGATGCTGCTGGCATGGTGCCCTCCAGGCCTCCCGGCCAAGCCACTGCTGGCCGCCCAGGCCCTGCCAGCCATGTTGTTGCTGCTCACCTCCTGGTGGGCACAGGGAGCCCTCAGCCCCCAGAAAGGATCTGGGGTTCAGAATAGGACCGGAGGCAGATCTGCCAGAGACCAGCCCAGTGGCTTGGCTAGCTCTCCCTGCCCCCACTCCCAGACAACGGGGGCTTCTTCCCGATACTGCTCTGCCTAGGGTGATGTCAATCCCATTGGACAGCCGCCACCTAGGAGTCCTGGTTGTTTGTCGTCACGGAAACAAACAACATTCTGCACTCCAGCATCACAGACTATCTGAACCATGTTTTACAAATGGGGAAACTGAGGTCCAGACGGGAAGGCAGCGAGGCTTATCTAGGGTCACCCAGCAAGCTGGAGGCAGAGCAGCGACAAGTGCTGAGCCCTCCTAGTACAGGCCCTGAGGAGCGGATCCAGCTTGGGTCGGGTTACAGCCCTCGGTGGGGACGCCGGGCTCCCGAGCAGCAGGTAAAGGGGACACCACCACCAGCCACGAGGCCCGTGAGGAGGGAAGAAAGAGGACCACAGGACTGCCGGAGGCATTCCCTTGTCCTTCTCTCTGACCTGGAAGACTCGGTCAGGTGAAGCCGGAGGGCAAGTCGTGTGTAGCCCCAGGGACAAGGACAAGGTGGTGGCCAGAGGCCGGAGCAGATACCACCCAGGGCCTGACAAGGCCCAGGAAGACAGGGGCAACTCGCCTTGAACCCAAATGCAGGATGAACAAGGGACCCCATCCCCACGGGGCCCTGTCAGTCAAAGGCTTTCTGCCCAGCAGAAGAAACAGTGGGCACCTCCAGCTGCCAGCACGGAGCAGGCAGGTCTAGGACAGCCAGGAGGTGGTACGTAATTTCATCACACCCACAGCAGCTACTGTTCCGGGGGTGTTACTACTGCAGGCCACTGCTGAGTGCCTGGTGCCTCCTGCGTGTTAATGCTCACCACCACCAGGGGCGGGGCCGGTGTGTGGGGGGGCAGGCCAGTCCTCACAGTTATCATCCCCATTTCACACTGGCTTGGGGAACTTAAGGGACATGCAGAGATTAGACAAAGGCAGGCCTGAAACCCAACACTGGGCTCTCTGGGTGGGCCCTTGCCCAGGGACTGGGAGAGTATGGTCCTGGAGGACCAGGGTGGTCCAAGCAGCTCCGTTCATCCCTAACCTGGTGAACTTTTACCCCAGGTACTCATCCATTGCCCAGGGGTGCTGAGGCCCGATCACGGCTCAGTGGACACTGGATGACCGAGGCCAGGCCTGTGGGATGGTGGGGGCTCGGGACACATGGCCAGGACTGGGCTGGGTCGGCACTGTCCCACCCTGACTCCCACCGTTGCTGAGCCCACCAAGTCCCATGGTTGAAGGTTGTTGTGTGGCTCTGGGTGAGGCACACCCAGGAGCTACCCAGCCTTCCTGCCAGTCTCCTGTCACCAGGCACTGACCTATCTGAAGAGGGGACCACCCCAGCCCGTCTCCAGGGGGTGGGACAGTGGTGGAGGGCAGGGAGCGCTGTCTGACAGTTTAAAGCTGTTCATTAAGACCAGGTCTGGGGAGGGGCACCGTTTGCACAGAGGCTCAGAAATAAGGGAGGGCCCGGGAACCCACAGGCCTCACTTCCTGGGTGAATGCGTGTGGGGCGTTGGCCCAACGGCCCGCTGGGGAGACTGAGGGAAAAGGTTTGCCACAGGGCAGGCCCAGGAGCTCCAGCGCTCAGGCTGTGTGGCTCAGGCTGTGGGGGGCGAGGAGCCCTCGCTAGATGAGCCTGTCCGATCCTGGAGGGAAGGCAACCGTCCCAGAATCCTCTAGGAAGGCATTGTCCTAGAGGCAGCGGTGCCTGAGGGATTAAAAAATGCAACATTTAGCCCTGGCCGGTTTGGCTCAGTGGTTAGAGCGTCGGCCTGCGGTCCAGAGAGACCCGGGTTCGGTTCCCGCTAAGGGCACGGACCTCGGTTGCAGTTTGTCCCCGGCCCTGGTTGGTCGTGCGGGTCGCTGCCACTCAATGTGTCCCTTTCACGTCAATGTTTCTCTCTCTCTCTCTCCCTCCCACTCTATCTGAACAAAAAATAGGAAAATGTCCTCGGGTGAGGATAAAAAAAAAAAAAATGCAACGTTTATCCTGCGGGCTTATCCTGCGGGCGTGGAAAGGATGCTGCGGGGGGGGGGGGGGATCTGCGGCCTGTGGGGGGGGGAGGGGGGCGGAGGCCGGGATTCCGGGGCCCAGGCCAGGAAGGCTCTCCGGAGGTTCCCACCGTCTACGGAGATGCCTACTCCACCTTCCCGGAAGAAGGACCCAGACGCCCCCCAACCTGGGCCCCGCTTGGCACCCCGGCCTGGAAAGGACCTGGGTCAGAGGTCCCGGTCCCGGACGCCGCGCTTTAACCTGCTACCTTACCTGGCACCGGGTGGGCCGGGAGGAGGGGGCACAGCGGACTCGGGTCGTCAAGGACGCCGGCTCCGCGTTGCCCATTGGAGGCTGCGCCCGGCTCTGCGCTCACTCTGCTGCTCCGCCTCCCGCCCGCAGCAAGGTCAGAGCCGAGCGGGCGGGCCTCCGGGTGGGCGGGGCGCCCAGGGGCGGGGCCAGAGCCAGCCCACCTGCGAGGAGCCCAGCCCCGCCCCGCCCCGCCCGCCAAGCCAGGCCCTCAGTGCAGGGAAATGCCCTCACCTGGCTCTAGAACCGGCTTTTTCCTCTGGAAGGTGGGGGTTATGATCCTCATTCATTCAACAAATATGTGTCCAGCACCTACTATGTGCCCTGCACCATTCTAAGCGACTTCAAGACTTACTGTAAAGCTACAATAATCAACCCAGTGTGGTACTGAGCAAAACATAGACCAGAGGAACAGAACAGAGAGCCAGAAACAGACCCACATAAATACAGTCCACTGATCTTCAACAAAGGACCAAAGGCAAACAATGGAGCAACGATAATTTTTCAACAAATGGTGCTGGAAAAACTGAACATCCACATGCAAAAAACAAACAAACAAAAGAAGCTAGACACAGTCTTTACACCTTTCACAAAAATTAAGTCAAAATGGATCATAGACCAAAATGCAAAATGCAAAACTATAAACCTCCTAGAAGATAACATGAGAAAAATCTAGATTTTCTTGAGTATGAAATTATTTAGACACAACACCAAAGGCACAATCCATGAAAAAAAGAATTGATAAGCTGGATTTCATTAAAAATGTATGTCCACACAAAAAACGGCACACAGAAGTTTCTAGCAACTTCATTTATAATCACCCAAACTTGGAAGCGACCAAGGTGTCCTTCAGTAGGTGAGTGGATAAACTGTGGTCCATGCAGAGAATGGACTATTATTTAATGCTAAAGAGACACAAGCTGTCAAGTCATGAAAAGACATGAAGGAATCTAAAATGCTTGTTACCAAGGGAAAGAAGTCAGCCTGAAAAGGCTACATACTATGGAGACAGTAGAAAGATCAGTGTTTACAAGGGGTTAGGGAGGAGGGAGGGATGAATAGGCAGAGCACAGAGGATTTTTAGGGCAGTGAAGCTATTCTGTATGATATTACAATGGCGAGCACACATCACTCTACAGGGTCAAAAACCATAGACTATACAACTCCAAGAGTGAACCCTAACGTATGCTATGGACTTTGGGTGATGATGCGTCAATGTGATTTTATTGGCTGTAACAAACTTGCACTCTGGTGCAGGACATTGACAGTGGGGGAGGCTCTGTCTGTGTGGTGGGGAGCAGACAGTATATGGGAAGTCTCTCTACTTTCAGCTCAATTTTGCTGCTCTAAAAAAAAGTATATTTAAAAGTTAAAATGATACATTTTCCATTATGTATATTTTACTGCATTAAAAAAAGAATGCTCATGGCAGCTTCATTTATGCACTCTCCAAACGAGAAACATGCAAATGCCTATCAACTATGGAATGGCTCAGTGAGTGGTGGAAGGTTGACTCCCGTGGAATACTACACAGCCACGAAAAGGAAAGAAGTGCTGCTACGCACAGTACAGATGAATCTCAAGAACATAATGCTGAGTGCAAGAAGCAGTTTATAAAATAATACTATGTGATTTTATGTTATCAAATTCAAGAACAGATCTTTGCTCTTAGGATCCTTGGGAGCCCTGGCCAGTTTGGCTCAGCGATCAGAGCATTGGCCTGAGGACCAGAGAGACCCAGGTTCAGTTCCTGCTAAGGGCACGTACCTCGGTTGCAGCTTGTCCCTGGCCCCAGTTGGGGTCATGTGGGTGGCAGCCAGTCGGTGTGTCTCTCTCACATCGATGTTTCTCTTTCTCATCGATATTTCTCTCTCTTTCTTCCTCCCTCTCTCCCTCCCACTCTATCTGAAGATAAATGCAAAAATGTCCTCGGGTGAGGATAAAAAAAAAAAGACGCTTGGGAGATGGGTAGTGACTGAGATGAGGAGGTGGGGGGGGGGCTTTCTGTGAAGCTGGAATGTTTCGTTTTGGATCTGGGTGCTGGTTACATGGGTGTCTAGTTTGTAAATAGTCACCAAACTACATTTATGACTTATTTGTACCCTTTTTGTATGGGTACTCCATGTTAATTTAGAAGAATGTGAGATACACACACACACTATTCACTTGCATTATATGCATACATACACACATGTATGTATACACACACACCATCCATACCACTCTGGAACCACACAGGAGGTGTGTTCTAATTCTCACTAGGCTTATGACCCTAGACAGGCCCCTACACTTAATCAAGCCTCAGTTTCCTCATCTGTAAAATGGAGATAATGGAAATACCTCATGCGGTTAACCAAAACACGTCATTGATGGTTGTGAGTCACACTTGACACTTACTGTTAATATTCTTCTTGCTGCTGTTATCTTTCAGCTGAGCCCAGGTTGGGTGGGGCTGGGGCGGGGGGGGGGGGGTGGCACTGTCTCCCAGGAGGAGGCGGGAGGGTCAGTCTAAGCTGACAAGCAGAACAGGCTCATGTTGCAAACTTGCAAAAGGGAGCAACCTGACCTGGCGGGGGAGGCTGCTCACTCCAGGCCTGGAGGTGGCACCAGCCCGCCCTGGGCCTGCTGGGGAGAAAGGCACTCGGGGGGTAACTGAACATCAAGCCCAGGAAACGGATCCTTTCCTGGAGAGCAGGGCCCTTTGCTATCACTGGGCAATCAAGATGCTTGTGAAACCTGAAACACCTTCTCAGGCCACACAGCGCTGGGCGGGGGAGTTGGATGCTTGGAACGGAAGCAAGTCCCCGACAGCCATTCAGCCATTCTCCGTAAGGAAGCCTGGTAGCTTCAGAAGGCTTGGGCGGGGCCTAGAGTCCCTGTGGCCCAGTGGCCCAATGACCTTGGTTTTATGCCTTAGTGGGGGAGGGGCACTCATGCAGACCTGGCTGCACCTTTACGAACAGCCCAGCAGAGTCAGATTTGAGTTCCGTTCCAGGCTCTACCACTTAGGAGCTGTGTGACCTTGGGTGGATCATTCAACCTTTCTGAGCCTTGTTTTCCACATCTGAAAAATGAAGACAGTTCTTATTTCACAGGGTTTGTTGTGAGGATTAAACAGCTTCCCTTTTGGTGGAGGGTAAAATTCAAAATGTTAACCATGGCCGCCTCTGCCCAGCGACCTGGCCGCAATACCACCCTGGCCCCGTTCCCCCCAGCTCGCCCTGTCATAACCCTTGCTGTTCAAGTTCAGCCCACCACAGATTAAGTGACCTGTACTACGGAATGATACCACAGCGCACCTCGGTTCCCACCTGTACTACATGATGACAGAACAGCCCACCTCGGTTCCCACATGTCCTACGGGATGACGGGACTGCCCACCTCAGTCCCCACCTGTACTACGGGGTGACAGGACAGCCCACCTCGGTCCCCACCTGTACTACATGATGACAGAACAGCCCACCTCGGTTCCCACATGTCCTACGGGATGACGGGACTGCCCACCTCGGTCCCCACCTGTACTACGGGGTGACAGGACAGCCCACCTCGGTCCCCACCTGTACTACATGATGACAGAACAGCCCACCTCGGTTCCCACATGTCCTACGGGATGACGGGACTGCCCACCTCGGTCCCCACCTGTACTACGGGGTGACAGGACAGCCCACCTCGGTTCCCACCTGTACTACGGGATGACGGGACAGCCCACCTCGGTTCCCACCTGTACTACGGGGTGACAGGACAGCCCACCTCGGTCCCCACCTGTACTACATGATGACAGGACAGCCCACCTCGGTCCCCACCTGTACTACATGATGACAGAACAGCCCACCTCGGTCCCCACCTGTACTACATGATGACAGAACAGCCCACCTCGGTCCCCACCTGTACTACATGATGACAGAACAGCCCACCTCGGTCCCCACCTGTACTACATGATGACAGAACAGCCCACCTCGGTCCCCACCTGTACTACATGATGACAGAACAGCTCACCTCGGTCCCCACCTGTACTACATGATGACAGAACAGCCCACCTCGGTCCCCACCTGTACTACGGGGTGACAGGACAGCCCACCTCGGTCCCCACCTGTACTACGGGGTGACAGGACAGCCCACCTCGGTCCCCACCTGTACTACATGATGACAGGACAGCCCACCTCGGTTCCCACATGTCCTACGGGATGACGGGACTGCCCACCTCGGTCCCCACCTGTACTACGGGGTGACAGGACAGCCCACCTCGGTCCCCACCTGTACTACATGATGACAGAACAGCCCACCTCGGTCCCCACCTGTACTACGGGGTGACGGGACAGCCCACCTCGGTCCCCACCTGTACTACGGGGTGACGGGACAGCCCACCTCGGTCCCCACCTGTACTACGGGATGACGGAACTGCCCACCTCGGTCCCCACCTGTACTACGGGGTGACGGGACAGCCCACCTCGGTCCCCACCTGTACAACGGGGTGACGGAACTGCGTAGCTCAAAGGTTTGCTGCAGGGACGAAAGGAGACCAAGCGGTGGTGGAGCCGCAGGTCCCGTCGCGGGGAAGCTCGGACCACAGGCGCTGTCACTTGCAGCTGCCCGTTCCCCTGGGGTCTGCGCTGAGGTCCTGAGGCCCCGAGTCCTGCCCGCCCGCACGCCCGCCCACGCCGAGTCGGGGAGACTCCAGGGCAGGGGTCAGGACCGCTCCAGGGCGGGACGTCTCCCCGCTGCACCCCGCAGCTCCCCCTCTCGGTAACGCGGTGCGCACTCTGGGAGACCGAACCAGCCCCATCTCGAACCGCTGTGCACCGCGCGAACCGCCGTGCGGGGAGTGGCCGCGGACAGCCACGCCCCGTCTCCCCGCCCCACACCGGAGCGCTGCGGCCGCGCCACCGGAAGTCACGCCGGGCGGAGCGCTTTCGCGGGGACACTGAGGCAACCGGCGGCCAACGCTAAGGGACCGCGGCCTGGGCTCCGGAGAGCCGGGCAGGGACCCGGGAGAAATGCCAACCCCAGGCTCAGGCGCACGGAACTGGAAGGTTCCCAGCATTTGGAGGAAACGAGCCAGAACCCCAGAGCGCCTTGAACTGTCCTGTGGGGTTGGCCGGTTAGGAAAGGGAGGCGGCAGAAGGTCGGGGGGGGGGTCCGAGTCCCCGCCCCACGTCCCGTGACGGCCCGACTCAGTTCTCCTACCTGTAAAGCGGGGCGATGAATCCCGGCCTCGTGGGTTGGGGACACTGCGAGGCGGAACGAGAAGGCCCCACGGCGACCCGGAGCAGTCCGTTTCCTGGGGCGGAGTCTTCGTCCTTCTCCGCGCTTGGAAACTTACACCGGACCCTTGGCCGCCCCACCCCGAGGGCGTACCCGGAAGTGCCCCTACGGAAGCCGCGGGGCCGCGCGCGCCGCTTCACCATGGCTACGGCGGGCGCCCCGCGGCGCTTCTGCCGCTGCGCCTGCTTCTGCTCCGAGAACTTGTACGTGGCGCGCTACGGGCTGCACGTGCGCTTCCGGGGCGAGCAGCAGCTGCGCCGGGACTACGGCCCGGTGGGTGGCGCCGCCGGCCCCGCGGACACGGGCGGGAGGGCGGGTGGAGGAGGCTCCTCGACGCCCGAGGTCGTGTGCTTTGCCCGAGGGCCCCGATCTCGGTGCCTCAGTTTCTGCACCTTAAGTGGGGGTACGAGGCCGTCTGCAGCGAGGCTGCCCCAGGAATGGGGGCCCCGGCAGGTGCACCGCGCTCAGGGCAGGGCCTGGCCCGGCTGCGCCGTCCGCGTCGCCAGGGCAGGTGGCAGCCCTGCTCCGGGCCGACGCTCAGCGTGTTTCATCCTCACGACGAGCCCGCGAGGTCCGGGCTCGCATCTGCATTTTAGGAGGGGAAACTGGGGCTCGGGGAGGTGAAGTGACTTTGCCCGGGGTCACCCCGTCGTGCTCACCGACCCTTCTGCTCCCAGATCCTGCGCAGCCGAGGCTGCGTCGGCCCCGAGGACTTCCAGCAGCTGTTGGAAGAGGTAACACTTACCACCCTCCGGCGCCCCCTCCACCCCCAGTCTGGACCTTCCTTTTAGATTTGTGTCAGCAGTTTGAGGGGTGCCCCAGCCTCGGGCCTGCCAGTCCCGGATCGCTGAAGGGCTCCTTTAGACCCTCCTTTCCCCGTCCCGTGCCCACTCACCACAGCGCCTGGGGCCTGGCACCAGGAAAAGAGAAAGAGGGAAATGCCCAGTTGTCTACTTCATACCCTCTGGGATGAAAAAATTGGGCTCAACAAGGGGAGGCACTTGCTCAAGGTTTCACACCCTCTTCCCTCGCCTGGGGTTATTGGTGGGAAGCTTCCCGGGAGAGCTCTCTGCAGCCTCTGGAACGCAAGACTGCGCTGCGACTGTTCCCCTCCCGGAGTGGCCCGTGCTGGCCGAGGGCACCTAAGGTGCTGGCTCCTGCAGCTCAGAGCAGGATGGGCCCCCTTCTGGAAGAGGTCCCTTTCAGCTAACAGCTTGGCACCTGAAATCAACTCTGCAGAGTCAGGAGCAGAGGGAGACTCGCGCTCAGCCTGGGCCCTGCGTTGGCCTTCCTGAGCCTCAGTGTCCTCATCTGTACAGTGGTCTGGAGGGGACGGGAGGCCCTGTCCTGGTAACCAGGCCCTGTGCCACCCCAGCTTGAGCAGGAGGTGGAGCGGCGGCAGCGGCTGGGGCAGGAGTCGGCTGCCAGGAAAGCCCTCATCGCCAGCTCTTACCACCCGGCTCGGCCCGAGATCTACAGCTCGCTGCAGGTACCCAGCGGGGACAGGCTGCTGGGAGGAGGAGGCATCCAGGCGGGGTGGCTGCCTGCCCCACAGTGGGGGTGTGTTCTGTCCCCAGGATGTGGCTCTGGCCCCAGGGTTTCTGGCCGCGGCTGAGTACAGCACGGTGCCGGGTGCAGACCTCCAGGGCCTCCTCCAGCGGCTGGAGACAGTGTCAGGTGAGGTTTGGGCCCATGACCTGGCAAGACTCGGGAGTGGGAGACGGGGGTCCCTGTACCCATTATGTCTGCCTCCAAAAACCAAACCAGCAGGGGCTGGGAGGTACAGGAACAGGACATCGTTACTCACTCACTCACCCAAGATACAGTTATCCAGTGCCTTGTGTCACACATGAGCCAGCTGGGGGTGACTGAAGAGCTTAACGAAGGGACATTTGAGACAGGTGTGAGCTAGGTTAAAGGATTAGCAAGGGATGGCGCAGGACCCCACCAAAGGCAGCGATGGAGGGGAGTGTTTCCATCTTTAGACCTGAGGAGTGGGCACACAGCCACGCCAGAGTCCGAAATGCCCCCTCTCCCCCTGGCCTCCATCTCCTGCTGGGGTGTCCCATTGGCTAAACCCAGCAGGAAGTTCCAGGCCAGGGGGCCGTGAGGTTCCTTAATCTCTCTGCCTTGGTTTCCTCATTGAAACGGGAACAGTAAAGCCACCCCCTCCAGGAGCCTGCACCCTGTTGGGGGCACAGGATGGAATGTGGAATGAAATGTCTCATCCGGCCTGGCATAGGGCCTCATTGCCATCTACTCCTGAGCAGCTGGAATTGTAAGGAGGCTCTCTGGGCGGGGCTGAGGCTGCTTGTGAGTTGGCCCAGATGCCCCTATACCCTGGGACATTGGTGTGCTTGCCAAGAAATGTCCCCATTTCCATTCTAAGCCGGGCCTCTCCCCACCAGGGCCCTACAAGAAAGAGCAGCCTCTCATCCTTCCTTGTGGGGACCAAACACACCAAGAAACGTCTGAGTTGGGGTGGAGACTTGGGTGGTTCACTGCGGGGAGGGGTGCAGAGAGAGCCTGAGGCCGGCTCTGTGGGCCTGGCGTGGCTCCGTGCTGGCCTGCTGGGTGTCCTGGGGGTGATCCCTTCCCATCTCAGGGCCTCACCAGGACTCACATCTGAGTCTGAAGGCTAGACCTGTGGGCACCCTTGGAGGCAGGATGAGAGGCTCCAGGGATGAGCGGGGGTCCAAGCACAGACCTCCCCTGCTGTGCACATGACGCACCCTTCAGTCACCATAATAGGCCTGGAGGGGAGCACCTGCGTTACCCCCATTGAACAGCTGAGGAAACTGAGGCTGGAGGAAGTGAAAAGGCATGCCCGGGCTCACACAGCTCGGGGAGACTGAAACCCACACCGGAGCTCCAGGCCGACAGACTGTCCCTCTCTGCAGAGGAGAAGCGGATCTACCGGCTGCCGGTGTTCACAGCACGGTTCTGCCAGGCCCTGCTGGAGGAGCTGGAGCACTTCGAGCGCTCGGACATGCCCAAGGGGAGACCCAACACCATGAACAACTATGGGGTGGGTGAGGCTGCCCCTGGTGGGCAGAGGCAGGGACACCTGGGTCTGAGGAGACTGACCCGAGTGCTGCAGGCAAGCTGTGTAGCCTTCTCTGGACCTTGGTCTCTCCGTCTGTAAAATGAAATCTTGGAAGATTTACGAGCCGGGGACACCCCAGGGACCCAGGGTGAGGCCCACCAGCTTCCCTGCTGACCCCACGTTCCTCCTCCCAGGTGCTGCTACATGAGCTGGGCCTGGATGAGCCGCTGGTGACACCGCTGCGGGAGCGCTTCCTACAGCCGCTGATGGCCCTGCTGTACCCAGACTGCGGCGGGGGCTGGCTCGACAGCCATCGAGCCTTCGTGGTCAAGTATGCGCCTGGCCAGGACCGAGAGTTGGGCTGCCACTATGACAATGCCGAGCTGACCATCAACGTGGCCCTGGGCAAGGCCTTCACGGGGGGCGCCCTGTACTTTGGGGGCCTCTTCCAGGTTAGTATGTGTGACCCACGGGGCAGTGCCTCGGGCAGCTGGGAGTGCCCAGGCCTGAGCCCAGCTGTCCTGCAGGCGCCTTCAGCCTTGGCCAAGCCCCTGGAGGTGGAGCACGTGGTGGGCCAGGGCATCCTGCACCGGGGTGGCCAGCTGCACGGGGCCCGGCCCCTGGTCACTGGGGAGCGATGGAACCTCGTCGTCTGGCTCCGGGCCTCCGCTGTGCGCAACCGCCTCTGCCCCATGTGCTGCCGCAAGCCCGACCTGGTGGATGACGAGGGCTTCGGTGACGGCTTCACCCGAGAGGAGCCCACTACGGTGGATCTGTGTGCGCTGACTTGAGCCTAGTTGGGACCTGTGTCGGGGGTGGCATGACAGCAGAGAGCTCTGCCCTCTCTGGTCGGGCAGGACAGAAATAAACTCTTTGTAGCCCTCGGCACTTGGTTCAAAAGGACAAGCAGGCTTCTGGGTCATTCTTTCAGCAGACGGGCTGGCTTGAGTCAGTTTGTCAGAATCTGAGATGGGGATTCCTGTTTATCGAGGGAATGCCCTCAGGTGAGGGGAGTCCAAGAAGCAGGACAAGGCAGGGAGGAGCTGGGCCAAGATGTGGGTTCAGATGGCATCTAAGTTCAGGCCAGTCCCTGGGAGCTCTGGAGCATGAATCTACCAGTATGCCCCCAGCATTAGTTGTTGGCTACAGGATGTGTCGGGAGAGGGCATGGTGGGGCGGGGGTGTGTGTGAATAACTTTCCAGACACCCCTCTCCAGGACAGGTGGCTTCCAGTGGCCAAGGGAATCTCACCAAGAAACGTACAGGTGCAGCTGTCAGCATCGGACAGGACAGTGGGGAGGAGTACCCCTGTCTATAAAGGGGATTTGAATGGGCCACCACTAGTATCTAGATGGTGTTGAGGGGTTACGCGCAGGGCCTCTGCAGCCAGACTGCCTGGGTTCAAATTCGGCCACCGGCAGCTCTGTGACTCTGGGTGAGTACTCGGCCTCTCTGCTTTTAGTGCCCCTTCGGGAAAGTGCCGTCGTCCTAAAGCTGTAGTGAGAATCAAATGGTATATAAAGTGCTTTATAACAGCCCCCGAGTTTGCTGCTGTCATTATCGTCAAAAAGCTTGCAGCTTGGTGGCCCCAAATTGGGTGAGGAGTGTCACTGGGCACTGGGGGTCGCACATTTGAAAACCAGGGATTTCCGTGTTGAGATGGTGAGTTCTGGCTTCCCTGGGAAGCGGGGAGGTCTGGAGACACCAGGCGCCATACCCACACTGCAGAAACCAGCTGGAGCCGAGTCTCCGCTGCCCATGCTGAGCAGGCCTGTGATGCACCCTTCACGGGGTCCCTCCCTCATTCACCGCCACGACCTCTGCCTCTGGGTTGGGGTCTCCGTGTTCCCGCATGGGGACGATGGGAAGACGCCCGGGGCTCAGGGTCTGATGGAGTGGGCAAGTCGACAGACAACCCAGGTTGGAAAGCAGCGCGCAGCAGGGTCGCCTTCGCTGGGGCGTTGGGGAGACGGGTTGCTGCGGGGGCGCTGGGAGGGCACCCTGGGAAGACGGCACAACTGCAGCAAAGGGCCTGCGAGCTCGGGGACTGGCGCCAGGCTGCAGGGCACGGCCGCAGCCCGGGGCTGCGGGAGCAGGCGAGACCTGGATGCCGGCTCGCCTCTGAACCGGAGGTGGGCGCGCCGCTCCGTGTGCTGCGCCTCCCGGGGGGCGGAACCTGGGGCTTCAGAACTAACGGGGCAGGGCCCGCTTTGCAGCCGGACGGCCTCTCGGAGCACCGCCCCGGCCGGAAGTCGCCCCGCAGCCGCCTGCTCACGTGAAGGCGGGGCGGCACCCCGTGGGCAGCGGGGGACAGAGCGGCCGGGACCTTCCCGCAGGCGGACGGCGCGGAGGTGGAGGGTAGGCGCGCGCGAGAAGGGGCTCAGAACGCACTGGCGGGCGAGGGTCGCGGCGGTTCCTGGGGCGCTGACCTGCGCAGGCGCGGAGTGTCCCGGCGGGGGCTGGTCCTTAAAGGGGCCGCGGCGCTGGCTCCGGGTGGTTGAGGGTCGTGCGGTGGCCGCGGAGCTTCTGGTGTCCCTGCCCCGGGGGCCTCGGAGCCCGGTCTGCGGGCCGCCCCGAGGGCCTCCGGGTGAGCCTGTGCGCCGCCTGCAGCCCGCGGCGCCATGGCTCCCGCCGGCCCCCGCCAGCGCCCGCGGAGCCGCAGCCGGTCCCGGGGCCGAGGGCCGGAGAAGAGAAGGAAGAAGAGCAGCAAGGACGCGCGGAGGAGCTGCTCGGCCTCCGCATCCCAGGGCCGCAAGGCCGGGACCGCCTCCTCGGGGGCAGAGGGTGAGGACCCGGGGCGCGGACGGAGCGCGGGACCTTCACCTGCCGGCTTCCCGGGGCTGGTTGTGGGGAGACCGCGGGGAGCAGTAGGCAGAGGGGTGCAGGCAGCGCGCGCATCTGGACGGAAAGCCACCGGAATCGGGGGGCTGGGCTGGCCCAAGGGGAGCGCTGGGCCCTGCGCTGTGTGCAGCGGGCCGGGCCGCGGGGTCACACAGGAGCCTCTCAGGAGCGGTGACCCCGCCAGGTCTCACCTGTCTGTTGCAGGCCCGAGCGGACACAGGCCGGGGGGGGGGGGGGGCTTACTTCTCCTGCTAGCCTCCCAGCCTCGCCTTCTCCCCGCATCACAGAGAGAAGCAAGCACCAGGCCCGGAGGAGACCACGATCCAGCTCCTCCTCCTCCTCTTCCAGTTCTTCTAGCGCCTCGACCTCCGCGTCCTCCTCCTCTTCCTCCAGCCGCGGCCGGAAGAAGCGGGGGAAGCACAAGGACAAGAAGAGGAGGAGGAAGAAGAAAAGGAAGAAGAAACTGAAGAAGAAGAGCAAGGAGAAGACAAAGGTGCAGCAGCCCGAGGCCCTGCCAGGCCCCTCGCTGGACCAGTGGCACAGATCCACCGGGGAGGAAGAGGATGGCCCAGGTACGGGCTGCTGGGTGCGCAGGACCAGGAGGGTCCCCTCTGCAGTCCGACCACCACCTCCTTCCCTGTCCCCTCCTAGTCCTGACGGATGAGCAGAAATCTCGCATCCAGGCCATGAAGCCCATGACCAAGGAGGAGTGGGATGCCCGGCAGAGCGTCATCCGAAAGGTGGTGGACCCGGAGACGGGGCGCACCAGGTGGGCAGCCCCAGGCGGGCACTCTCAGGAGGCGGGGTGTGGCTGCAGCTGTGAAAAGGCCGAGGAGGGGCGGAGAGGAGTCACTGTGGATGGGACTCCTGAGGCCGTGCCGCCCCATTGCCCGAGTGATGGCAGGGGCTGGACGGGCCTTTGAGAGGGTCATCAAAGAGCCACCCGGCCACGGCCACCTTTGTTCCCGTTTCAAGGGTAGGAGAGGCGGGTGGTGGAGCCCGAGGCCTGAGACCCCTCCCCCCAGGCATTAGCCGCTCAGCTGCTCCCTCCTCCCGCAGGCTCATTAAGGGAGACGGCGAGGTCCTCGAGGAGATCGTGACCAAGGAACGACACAGGGAGATCAACAAGGTGGGTGTCGCCCCTTTGCCCAGGACTCCCCCTCAGCTCCATGTGTGATGTCCCCTCCTATGTGCTTTCTCACCCAGCAAGCCACCCGAGGGGACGGCCTGGCCTTCCAGATGCGAGCAGGGCTGTTGCCCTGACGACCCGCTGACCAAGGTCTGGACAGTGTTGGCATGATAGGGTGGGCAGCAGGAGGCCAGGCGGGCACGTTTGTCTCTTCTCCTGTGGACCGGCCTTTGGCCCAGCCTCCGCCCAGATGCAGGGGTGGAGGACTGGGATCTCCGTCAGATGCAGGGGTGGAGGACTGGGATCGTCTGATGCAGGGGTGGAGGACTGGGATCCCGTCTGAGTCAGCACCCCTTCTCCTGAAAGAGCGTGCCTTCCCAGATATTAAATGTTGCCTGGTTGGAGACTTCTGTTCTGTTCTTTTTGTACTGAGAGGGACGAAAGGGTGCTGCAGGCTGCCGGCGCCCAGTGGGCAGTAGGGGCTTTGGGGAAAGCCGGGGTGTGCCCTGGTGGCCACGCACACCTCCCCAGGTCAGCCTGCTGGGACTCGCCCCCCCCCACCCCAACCCAGAGACTTGGCTCTTTGACCCGATTCCCTCAGGCTCGGAGGGAGACTGCTGTCCTTGCCGTGTTCCGTTCGAAGGTGACAACAGCCGAGAGCCCCGGCGCTGGGCCAGGTGGTCCGGGGGGAGTCCTGGCCCAGCTTCCGGTGTTCTCTGTAAGCAGAGACAGTGCACCCACGTCACCGGGTTGCTGTGGATGAGCCCAGTTCACTGCCAGGAAGGGGCTAGAGGGGCGGCACAGGGTCAGGCTCACGTGAGTCACTGGTGTGACCATGGATGCAGCTGCCGTTGTGTACAGGACAGGCCGTGCCTCCACCGCCACCCCCGCCCCCACCCGCTGCTGTGGTGGCTGGTACAGTAACGAGACCCAGAAGGAAGCCTTCCTGCTTCTTTAATTCGTGTGACAGACAATGATACTGTATACAGAGCACACTCAGGCCCAAAGGAGCGGGGACAGCAAGGGGGGGGACAAGTCAGGACACTGCGCACATGGCCCAGACAGACGGGGAGACGGACAGACCAACGTGGCGGGCGGGTGGGCAGCTCAGATCGAGCTGGGCAGGGTGTGGGGTCTCTGCTGTATCCCTCTTTAGAAATCAAAGAGAAGGCAGGTGGCAGGTGTGGGTGGTGGGCGGAGGCTGTCCTGGGGTCGGGGTGGGAGGGGACTAAGGCTTCTACTCTCACAGGCCTGGGTGGGTGGCAGTCAGCAAGGCCTGCCTCACCCTTTGGTAATGACTGGTCAGGCCTGAGCCTGCAGCTCAGCACCCAACGCTGTAAACATTTTTGGTATTTTTTCAAAGGACTCTGCCCTCCCTCAGTTTCTGAAAAACTGGTGCTTCCGCAAGAGGAGACTGTGCCAAAAAGATTCCTAAGGGGGCAGGAAGCAGACCTGGATGCAGGAGAGACGTCAGCAGGGCGGGTGGGCTGCCCATCTCACCATCTATGGCTACGGGCCGCTGGGCGAGGCCCAGGGGACTATTGCTGTTGTCCTTGGCGTGGCTGGCGGCTGGGCAGGAAGGTGGGGAGTGCAGAGCTGTGGGGGTGGCCGCCCCCCGGGGGAGGCCGAGCCCCCTGCCCACATGGCTTGTCCAGGCCAGGAAGCCTCAGCCTTTATTGCCAGTGGGCCTGAGCTCTTCCAGGTGCTCCTGACGGCTAGTCATCCAGGGGTAGGCCAGATGGGGGGAGGCGGGCGATGGAGGAGGCATGGCCACGCCCTGGCGGGGCTGTGATTGTCGGCCAGGCCGTCCCCCGGGGCAGAGGAATTCAGATATTGCACTTGCACCGCAACAGTTACATTAAAACTTGGTCCATAAAATAATCGTTGCTTTATACATAACGCCCGGAACAACAAAGAAAAGCTACACCTTAAATATGAATAAACCTGAAGGTCCCATCCCTCCAGACATTTTTCTCTGCGCAAAATAAATAGCTTTCACTCTGTACAGACCCACTTTGGCAGAACATTACACGGCCCTTTGGCTGTGCGTATCTACACGGGAAAAGGTTCACGTCAATGTGCACCCCCGCATCCTGGCCGAGGCCCCGAGGCCCCGGGCCGCATCCAGGTTGGCAGCAGGTTCTGAGACATGGAGCCCGGGGGCTGGACACTTGCCGAGGCGGGCAGTCTCCCCGACCTTGAAGGCAGAGGAGCAGCAGACGGGCCGCAGAGCCGAGCTGAGCGCCACAGCTGATGTCGCAGTCGGTTCTGGGGAGGGAGGGCTGACGCGCAGACCGCTGCAGGGCGGCGTGGTCTTGACCAGGCAGGACACGAAGCTGTGGCTCCTGCCCTGACGCTGAAGACGGGGCTGTGGCTTCCCAGACGGGACTGGGACGGACGGGCGTTAAAAACCTGTGTGTGCCTCACCCACCCCCCCTGCGTGGGCAGGAGGCAGGGCCCCGGGACCCAGAACCAGGCTGGACTCCGTCACAGTGCTGGGTGCTTCCTGTGGAGGGGCTGCACTGGGTACTGAAAGAGTTAAGAAAAGGAAGCAGCCAAGGATTGCTCGTTTAAAAAAACCCCGTAGAAATCAGATCCAAGAAGTAGAAAGGTGTAGAAACGCGGGAGGGCCGCGGCGCGGGGCCTTGGCCGATGGCGGGCCAGGAGTGGGAGAGGCGTCCAGGCCCTGCAGGCCGAGGCAGGGCTTCACCGGCCGCGGCCTGGGCTGTGCCCGAGCCGCAGGCGGTGCCAGGCCCACAGCGGCACGGGCCCCGGGTTGGCCGCGGTCGGGCGGAGCGGCCGAAGTGGAGATATGGCCTTTCTGTCCTGCTCTCACAGGGATTTGTGCCCCGGAGCCTTCTGTGTGGCACTAGGTCCTGGATCAGCAAAAGTTGGATTTTCATGCGTGTGATGGGTCTGTAGCCACAGGAGTTGGGTATTAAACTCTGCTCTCAAAAATCAGTGCAAACCAGTGAGGTTGAAGAGTTAACTTGAGTCAACAAGAAGCAGGCCGTCCCCCCGCTTGGAGCTGCTTCCAGGTGGGAGGGGTCGTGGGGGTCAGGGCAAGCTAGTGGCCAGGAAGGTGGCAGGCAGGGCCCGGCCTGGAGTCAGGATGCCGCGAGGTCAATGCAGGGCCGTTGTTCAGGAGTACCTTCAAGGCCGGTCCCCGGGGGGGTCCTGGACCTTCTGTCGTCCTGGGGCGGGCTGTCCCGCCAGCTTCCATGACAATGGGAACCCCTCAGGACCTAGGACACGAGGCAGGGCTGGGAGCGCAGTGTGGCACGGCCGGTGTCCTCTGCTGGGCCCTGGGACAAGTCTGTCCCCAGCTGACGGCATATGCCCAGGCCAGGCCTCCTGGTGGGCTGGCCGCCTGGCCTAGCACCATGGAGACCACAGTGCCTTGCTGAGGTGCCCTACTTGGGGCCGGTGGCTGCCCCTGGCTCCAGCCGGCCAGCCGTGGTTCGGCCCCAGCAGCTGGCCGCCACGCTCATGCTGCGCTGGCCCCGTGGCTCGCCGTCCGGCAGCTGGCCCTGCGTCCGCTCGTGCCTGAGACCCGGGCCGCTGGGCTGGGCCGAGATGGTGCGGAGCAGGTGGTTCCGGGAGCGCAGGAAGTCACTCTGGCCGGGCAGGCCGAAGCTGCCCTTGCGCAGTGCCATGCGGGTGGCCGTGTTGCGGGCTGGCCGCGCCCGGTGGTTATACTTAAGCTGGGCCAGGTGGGCTGCGTAGCCGTCTGTGATGAACTGCGGGGGGGGGGGGGGGCCAGTGAGGACGGCCCTGGTCACAGGGCAGGGCCCTCCGGGCTGCCCCCCGTGCCCCCGCCACAGTCCGCCCACTCACCTGGCACTGCTGCTGCAGCTTCTTGGTGGGCCTGCCCACAATGTAGATCTGCATGGGGGACAGGCTGATGGCGCTGTAGACCCCCACGTCCTTGGTGGAGCCGTAGGCTGCATGCGCACGCAGGTGCAGCTGTGGGCGAGGCCAGTGTGGGCACAGGCGTGACCCTTCCAGCCCACCCCACCGACCCCTCCGCCAGGACCCACCTCGGAGATGAGCAGCTTCAGGAAGTTGGCCTTGTGTCGCAGTGGGTCGTGCACCAGGCCGTCACAGAAGGACACCACGCCGTGGGGGAAGTTGTGCTGGGCCAGCCACGCCACGACCCGTTGCTTCTGCATGTCGGGCCGGCCCGTCACATAGATGATGAGGTAGCCCAGGTCCTGCCAGTGCCTGGGGGCGAGGGGCAGGCCTGGGTGTCCCACGCCACCCTGTCCCCCTTCCTGGGCCGCCCTGTGTCCTTGCCCAGCCAGCCCCTCCTCCGGCCACTGCAGAGGCTCTCTGCTCAGACTCCGGCAGCGGCAGCAGCAGGTGGCTGGCAGTGGCCTGGCGCAGCGCCACGACCTGAGTCCCATAATCCTTCCCCCTCTGCAGCAGTGTGCCCGGCCTGACGAGGACCCCGCCGCCCAGGTGAGGGGGCTGAGCACCCAACATCAAGAGGTCAGATGAGGGCCACACAGCTAATGAGTGCTGGTGCCTGCTTCAAGGTCCCTGCCGAATGCCCTACGCTGGCACCACAGACCCACCCACTGTGCGCCTTGGGGGCCGGGGGCACTCACCGCACCACGTCCACGGCCCCAGCCCGAACTTTGGGGTCACTGCCCATGATGGACACGCTGGCGGCAAAGGAGCCGTCAATACTGAAGACCACGAACTCCGTGCCCCTGGGCAGCACGGTGATGTAGCTGTCAGCAAAAGTGTGGTCGCCCCTGGGGGCGTGGCTCGTCAGAACCCACAGAGCCCTTCCCGCCTCCTGCCCCGGGGGGGCCGCCCGCCCCCCACCTGCCCTCCCCGGGAGGGAGGCGAGTACCTGACCACCATCTTCACGGGGTAGACGCCCACGCCCAGGCGGTGGGCCTCAGGGATGGTGTAGGAGACGCGCCCGCTGCTGTTGGTCACCAGGGTGTCCAGGTACAGCCACTCCCCCGAGGGAGGCTGTGTCATGATGTGCACATCCACCTGGGAGCCGGGCAGGCTGGTCACCGGCGGGCTGTGCCCCTGGCCTCCCACCCCCACCCCCTGGCCAACCCCCCGTCCTCACCTTCTCCCCAGTCAGGGTGACCATGTCCAGGGGCCCGTACATGAACCGGCCCGTCAGAACCTGTGGGCCATCCTCGTTGGCAACCGCGTCACTGATCCGGTGGTTGGCTGTCACGTTCTGAGAAGGGGAGGGCAAAGCTGGGTCCGGGTGGGGGCGGAGGGGCAGCTGGGGTCTCCAGGGCCTTTGGGGTGAGCTGGGCTTAAGGCCAGAAAACCCAGGTTCAAGCCCAGCTCAGCCACTGGGTCCCGTGGCCTTGGGGAACCGAGGGAGCCCGCTGCCCTTCCCTGTCCGTGACGGGGTGACAGCCCCAGCCTCACAGACAGGAGCAGATGAGAGCACGCGTCCTGCGACTCCGCCGCCTCATCCGGGAGATGGGACAGCAGGACGGCCGGCACTCGGACCCTCACCCGCAGCTTCACGTGGGTTCTCTTGCGCTGCCACTTCTCCCGCGGCTTCGAGGGGGTGAACACCGAGACCTCCTTGCCGTCCAGCTCCAAGATGCTGGAGCTGTCGTGCCTCATGACCTGGGGGAGGCAGCATGGAGCAGGCTCGGGCCCGGGCCTCCTGTTCCAGGGGCCGGAAGTAGGAAGCGGCGAGGGTTTGGGAGCCCACCCTCTGGGCCCCCCAAATTTGTGTCCCACGACTGCAAGTGCATTCACTCTATCTCAGCGTCCCCACAGGTCCCTTCGTCCTACTGGCTCTTCTCCGACGGGGTCAGAGGGCGGGTCCCCCACCGCCCTCATCTGTGAACTGGGGCTGCGTCCGCGGCCGTGGCCTTCGGGCCCTTGTGTGTGCCGGGCAGGGGCGCGGTACCTGTCTCAGCAGGAAGGACACCACGTCCGTGGACTCCCAGTAGCTGGCGTGGAAGAGGTGCGGCAGGGCGGCCGTGGGGAAGGCTGTCAGGGCGTCGGGGCAGTACAGGGCGTAGTCGATCCGCTTCTGGCCCCACCACTTCGCAGCGACTGCCGGGAGGGGCCGTGACTGGGCTGGGACCCCGAGGCGCCCGGGCCCGAGGCCCAGCTCAACCCGAGAACCCTCCTTGACCCAGGAAGGGCGGCAGCCAAAGCGAGAGCCCCCCCCGCGAGGCTGGGTGACTGAGGGACCCGAAGGCAAGGAGACCAGGGCAGGGGCACAGGCAGGGTGTGGATTTAGAGGGGGAGGGGAAAAGCCTTCTGGAGCAGGATGGGCTGTCCTTGGTCCTGTCATAGATCCTGGTGACCCCTGCCCTGGGCCCCATTGCTGTCCCCTCCTGGCACCCTGTACCCCTAGGCCTCAAGGCTGTGAAAGTCTTCACCGCAGTGGTGGTACAATTCCTGGGCCCCAAGGAGCCCAGTGAGGCTGAGTGGGAATCTGGGCTCCCACTTGGGGCTGGCCAACCACCCCAGCTACAGAGGAGGCTTGTAAAGTGCCCCCCGGGTGGCCACATGCAGGAGATGCCTCGGAAACTCAGTGAGGGGTACCTCCTGCCCTCTGCTGGCAGCCTGCCTGACCCCCAATCCTTCGCCCCCCCATTCCACTCCATGGGCACCCCCCCAACTCCAGCTACTCTCGCCTCCTCCCCGGATGTCTGGGTTCTCCCAGCCCAGCTTCTAGGTCCCAGGTCAGGCCTCAGCAGGGCAGGCAACAGGCCCGCAGCGAGCTGTGCCCGGGAACGGGCAGGCGACAGGCCCCACAGTGAGCTGTGCCCGGGAACGGGCAGGCGACAGGCCCCACAGTGAGCTGTGCCCGGGAACGGGCAGGCGACAGGGCCCCGCAGTGAGCTGTGCCCGGGAACGGGCAGGCGACAGGCCCCGCAGCGAGCTGTGCCCGGGAACGGGCAGGCGACAGGCCCCGCAGCGAGCTGTGCCCGGGAACGGGCAGGCGACAGGGCCCCGCAGCGAGCTGTGCCCGGGAACGGGCAGGCGACAGGCCCCGCAGCGAGCTGTGCCCGGGAACGGGCAGGCGACAGGCCCCGCAGCGAGCTGTGCCCGGGAACGGGCAGGCGACAGGCCCCGCAGCGAGCTGTGCCCGGGAACGGGCAGGCGACAGGCCCCGCAGCGAGCTGTGCCCGGGGACCGGGCAGGCGACAGGGCCCCGCAGCGAGCTGTGCCCGGGAACGGGCAGGCGACAGGCCCCGCAGCGAGCTGTGCCCGGGAACGGGCAGGCGACAGGCCCCGCAGCGAGCTGTGCCCGGGAACGGGCAGGCGACAGGCCCCACAGTGAGCTGTGCCCGGGAACGGGCAGGCGACAGGCCCCGCAGCGAGCTGTGCCCGGGAACGGGCAGGCGACAGGGCCCCGCAGTGAGCTGTGCCCGGGAACGGGCAGGTGACAGGGCCCCGCAGTGAGCTGTGCCCGGGAACGGGCAGGCGACAGGCCCGCAGTGAGCTGTGCCCGGGAACGGGCAGGCGACAGGCCCCGCAGCGAGCTGTGCCCGGGAACGGGCAGGTGACAGGCCCGCAGTGAGCTGTGCCCGGGAACGGGCAGGTGACAGGGCCCCGCAGTGAGCTGTGCCCGGGAACGGGCAGGCGACAGGCCCCGCAGTGAGCTGTGCCCGGGAACGGGCAGGTGACAGGGCCCCGCAGTGAGCTGTGCCCGGGAACGGGCAGGTGACAGGGCCCCGCAGTGAGCTGTGCCCGGGAACGGGCAGGCGACAGGCCCCGCAGTGAGCTGTGCCCGGGAACGGGCAGGCGACAGGCCCCGCAGTGAGCTGTGCCCGGGAACGGGCAGGTGACAGGGCCCCGCAGTGAGCTGTGCCCGGGAACGGGCAGGCGACAGGCCCCGCAGTGAGCTGTGCCCGGGAACGGGCAGGCGACAGGCCCCGCAGTGAGCTGTGCCCGGGAACGGGCAGGCGACAGGCCCCGCAGTGAGCTGTGCCCGGGAACGGGCAGGCGACAGGCCCCGCAGTGAGCTGTGCCCGGGAACGGGCAGGTGACAGGCCCCGCAGTGAGCTGTGCCCGGGAACGGGCAGGTGACAGGCCCGCAGTGAGCTGTGCCCGGGAACGGGCAGGTGACAGGCCCGCAGTGAGCTTTGCCCGGGAACGGAGTGGATCCAGTGAGGTGGTGAGTGTGGAGGGAGGGCACTCGATGCCCAGTACCTTCTCTGAAGTCCAAGTTGGGGAGGCGGGGCTTCGCCCACCTGGCCTGCAGGCGGGGACCCGGGGTGGACAGGGGTGGGGGGGGCAGGGCGAGCAGGGACAGGCGCCTGATGCTGGGGGTGTGGCCGAGCGGCACGGGGGCCTCTGAGGACCAAGAACAGGGGAAGGACAGCGCTGGGCGCGCAGGCCCTGGGCCCTCACGGGAGGACACTCCGGCCTTCGCCCCATACTGCTTGGGTGACAGGCAGCTTGAGAACTGGGCACGTGGGCAGGGAGGGTGGCAGGGGCAGCGGGCAGGGGGCAGTGGGCAGGGGCCACTGAGAAGGGGTGATCCGGACTCTGCCAGCTGCAGGGAAGCTTCTGAGACGGGCGGGAGCGAAGGCTGCCCGTGTCCTCTGCCCGAGGCGGCAGGAGGGCCCGTGGCCACAGAGACCTCACCTCCCTGGCTCCCTCAGCCAACCCTCCCGATGGGCCGGCTCCGATCACGTGTCCTCAGCACTCTCCCTCAGAGAACACACTGCCCACCCCGCCCTGGGCTTGGACCGGCGTCTCCCAGCTTCCTGAGTGGTGCCCCCAGTGTTGTACCACCTGGACTTGGCCCCACGGGGCCACTCCTTCATCTGGGGATCGCTCTTCATCGCGGGGGCATCCTGGGCACTGCAGGGTGTTGAGCAGCACCCCTGCTTTCCACCCACCAGAAGCCAGTAGCACCCCCTCCCCAGCTGTGTCCAGGCATTGCCAGCTATTCCCTGGGGGGCATACTGCCCCCTGCAGGACAGAGGGGAGCGTGCCGGAGGGCCGGCTGGACACCACTGCACACTCACTTTGGGCAATGCTGGATGCCGTGTAGCTCTCGGCCATGCCGGACACCTGGCTGGCGATGCTGATCTCACTGGCTCGGCGGAACCCTCGGGTGGTGGGGGCTGCCCCGGGCGAGGAGGGGGCTGTGTGCTCTTGGAAGACCGTGCTGTGAGCCTGGAGCGCCTCCGCTGCGGGTGGACAGGGACCAGAGCCCAGGGGTAAGAGAGGCCCGCCCCGCCCAGAGCCCCAGCTGGAGCGGGGTGGGGGTGGGGGGCAGAGAGGTGGCTGTGCCGGGCAAGGCTGACACCTCCAGCGGCAGACGAGCAGAGCTGGCAGAGGATGGACCCAAGGGTGCCAGGGCCGCCCACTCAGGGCTGAGGGGGCAGGGACAGAGCCGAGGCAGGGGAGAAAGGAGGGCTGAGGCAGGATGGACAGATGACCAACACAGACACAGTGGGCAGGGAGGCGGATGCAGCCAGGTCCACACCCCCCCAGGCATCCTTCTTACCCCACACACGGCTCTGGAACTGGTCTAGCCTAGCCTTCGGGGCCTAGCCCAGCCCGGCCTCACCCCCAGCCCGTGGCGGTTGGGTTTGAGGGGAGCAAACAACAGGGGTGGCTTTCAGGGATGCTCTACGCTGAGGCCCGACATGCGTCTCACACACACGAGCCGCGATGACAAAGGCAGGTAGGTGCAGAGGGCTTGAGCCGGGCTCACCTGGCTCAGGCTGAGGGCAGGGCAGAGCCAGGATAAGGGGCTTGGCTAAAGGGGTGCAGGGGCTGCCTGGGCCTTCTTAGGGAGGGGAAGAGTGGGACCCTGAGAATCCAACCCCTCACCAGGACTGAAGGCTTCTCCTGGGGAAACGGGCGAGCCCCGGCAGACTTGAGGCCTCACCCCGGCTCCTGGCTGCCCCTCCAGCTGCACCACTGACTGGCACCCATGCTAGGTGACCCTGGGCAGCTGCTCCCCTCTCAGGGCTCCTGGGCACCCTGTGCTTGGGTCCCCTCCAGGCTCTGCAGAGAAGCAGCACCAAGACCTGCTCCCCGGCAGGACCCACCCTGCCTGGCCTCCCTTCCTGGTCACCTCAGTCCCACAAACTCCTAGCGGCCAAGAGCATCGGGGTGGCCCCTGAGGGCCAGCGGTTAGCCAGTGAAGCAGACACCACCAGGAGCTGGGGCTTTACACACACTCAGCACAGCCCGGGCTCGGGCGGGGCCCATCTTGCCAGGTGAGCTCGGGAACTGGGATACTGGTTTCCAAGAAGCCGTCCCCGGGGAGAGGGGTCAGGGGGCCGCCCTCCAGGACCAGCTCAGGGTTTCTCTGCACGGTCTCGACTGGAGGCAGACGGGGAGAGAACAGAGAGGACAAGAACAGACACTCATGTGGGCCGTCCAGACAGAAGACGCGGTGCTCCTCGAGGACCAGGACGTGACGAGACACTGGGACACACGGGGGGTGGGGCGGGGCCGTTCCCAGGGAGGGCTGAGAAGGGACATTGGGCAGCTCTCACACTCACCCCCTGCCCAGATCTACGCTGTGGCCCCCCCTCCTGTACCCCCATAGCTGGGTTGAGCATCAGGGGCCCCAGCTCTGCTGCCTCTGTGGGAAGTGGGGAGGTAGTCTGGCCCCCTGGGTGGAGGTGAGACCCTGTCATCCATTCCCAACTGGCTGGGCCCGGTGAGGCGAGTGCACCCACACCCACACAGGTGCCCCGATTCTCAGGTGTTCCATGCAGGCCCGCCCGGCCTGGAGCACCCACCCTACCCCAGGCCCGGTGGCCTGCAGGCGCTCACCCAGCAACGTGGAGCAGCCGTCCCCCAGCGGGTAGCGCTGGTAGCGGGGGATGCTGAAGGGCGGCAGGGCGTGGAACCGCCGCTCCAGCAGGGGCTCCAGGCGCGACGCCGACGGGTCCGCGGGGTGGAACAGGTTGTACACTTGCTGGCAGGCCGGCCGCAGCTGGAAGACTGGGGGCGGGGCGGGGCGGGGTCTGAGAGGTGGCTGCTGGCTCCGCCCCAGGAGGCGGGGCCTGCAGCAGGGTGGGCGCGCTGGTGGTCCAGACACGCAAAACCAGAAAATGTGTCTATAGATTTGGGATCTGTTTGGGCCATTTTCCCTTTATCAACCGTTTTTTTCATTGAAGGGAGCGAGCGAGAGAGAAAAACACACGGTTGGTTGTCTCCCTTATGCACCCCGACCAGGGATAGGTATGTGCCCGGACCCTGTATCGAACCCGCAACCTTTTGGGGTCCGGGAGGATGCTCCAACCAACGGAGCCACCCGGCCAGAGTTCGGGGTTAGTGTTGCAGGAGCCGCTGCGGAGGCAGCAGGCTGTGGCCCCGCCCAGCGCCTTCCCTGGAGCCCCCGCCAGCACCTGGGCGTCTGCCGGGCACCTGGGCGCCCGTCCAGCTGCCAGGCCTCTGGCCTGTCTGGGAGCGTCAGGCCTCACCCCGATTTAGCTTGTGCAGCTGTTAGCAAGGTGTGTCCCAGGCTATCAGAAAAGTCTGAGACCTCTTAGGTGCTATGCTTATTGTAAAACTGGGCGTCATTAAGCATCTCTGGTATCATTCGGTAGGTCACGTCTGGGTCTACGAGCCCTCAAAACATCTCACACAGACACGAATGGTAACTTTCTCTGATCTATCCCGCTGGCTTGCGGCGGATTCCATAGGAACGCCCCACTTTTGGGGAGTGGGGACACCTGTGTGAGCGGTCAGTATGGTGCATCTCACTTTTACACACACAAATAGGAGCACATGCTACACTTTTGAACTCTGCTCCCCTCCCCACCCCATTTTACACACAGATTTTGGGAGTCTTTCCTATCAGCACGCACAGTTCTGCCACGTTTGTTTTTTTTTAAGTGACACCACTGTCCCTACATCTTGGTGCACTTACGTGCAAGTCCCTGTCGACTTGTTCTGGGGCAAGTGTCTACACCTCTCCGGGCCTTCGTGACCCCCTGTAACCCGGGGGCATAGCATGAGCCCTGCGTAGTGAGGATGGCATGATCGTGGTGGCACCAGGTGGCACAGCTGTTCTGCAAGGCTGCTCAACCCATAGGTCTCACCTGGGTCCCCAGAACAGCGTGGCTGGGGCACCTCTGGGGCTGGAAGGCCACTGCACCAAGAAGGCTTTGGGGGGGGTACCTGGCTCTATACATCTTCCTTTTGGGGAGACCTTGGCTCTGGGAGACTGGTCTATCCCATCTGACCCTGGAAGGGTCCCTTTCCCATCTGGACCTCAGTTCCCAGGGTTGCTTGGAGATGACATGAAGGCAGGTGTTGGGGAACGGGGGCCAGAGACTGCGCTGCTGAAGCAGGAGCGTGGGAGAGGCTTGGGCCCCAGTACAGAGGACAAATAAGAGGCTGAGACAGGAAGGGGTCGGGGACAGGACCAGGGTGTTGCGCCGAGTCTGCTGAGACCCCATGCCCTGATCATGTAGCACCCACCCTCCCTGCCCCTGCGGGCTCTCACCATCCAGGCTGGGGATGACGGTCTTTCTCAAGGCCAGGACCAGCCCCAGTGGGCACCCGAAGAGGAAGAGGTCAGCGATTTCAAAGTCGAACCTGCCCAGGGCCCCCGTGCAGTCCAGCATGGTGGAGCTGCTTGAGCGGCGGGAGCTGGGCTCGTTCCTCAGCACGCTGGCGTGGAGGCTGTGTGCGGGGGACGCGCCGGGTCACACCGAGGCCCTCCTCGGGGCCGGCCTGCCCTCAGCTCCCAAGGAGGCTCCTGAGGGGTCATCGGGTCCGAAGAGGCCCCTGTGCTGCCTTTCAGGTGCAGCTGCCAGGGCCTGCTGGGACACCTCTGATGAGAGGGTCCCAGACCCTCTAGGGGCCGTCTGCCTTTGGGACAGTCCTGACAGGGGCCATGCTACCCCCCATGGCCGGTTCTTCCCCCCGATATTGCTTCCCCAGACAATCTGTTCCCTCTGGTTCAGGGTGGCCCTCGGTGTGGACCAGATCACAGCTGCACCCTGCAAACCTTTCTCCTGGCTGAAGAGCTGTGGGCCCAGTGTCCAGCCCTCCCTCCAGGGGGTCCTCATCCTCCCCTGGCGATGGGCCTTAGGAGTGACCTCCGGCCCCGCCCGCCCCGCCCACCTGGACAGGAAGGCCTGGTGCTGCTGGATGGTGTCCAGCTCGTAGGTGGACGAGTCACTCCTCTTTCGGGGCGGCTGCCGTTTGGGGTCCTCGGCGCCATTGCTACGGGGGATGTCGATGTTGCTGCGGCTCAGGTGCCGACTGCTCTCCAGGTTGCCGCCGCCGCCGCCGTGTGACGGATTCGCCAGGATGCCCGGGGACAGCAGGTCGGCATCCTGGAACGGCCCCGTGCAGGCTCACTGCCGGGGGGCTCCTGGCCTGGCCCCCTTCGGGGTGTCCCTCCTGCCTCCAGGCCCACTGGTCCCTGCCCAGCCAAGCTCTCAGCAGGCCGAGTGGGGAGCACCCCGCCCCCGCCCCGCCCAGGGGCCACCCGGTACCTGCACACTGGCCACACTGCCTCTGCGGCTGCTGCCCTGACTCTCGGACACCGGCTGGCTGCTGCAGCACAAGGCGTCGAACGCCAGGATGCCCCCGACACAGTCCCCGATCAGGCAGACCTGGGGAGAGGCTCTCTCAGGCCGGGCCCAGCTCCGCGTCCCGGGGCGCAGGCTGCGGAGAAGCAGGTCCAGGGAGGCCCCCCCACAGGGCCTTCTGCCTGCCCTCCCTCCACCCCGTGACTCACCTGCCCGCTGAAGGTCACACCCTCCTGGGACTTGATGAAGTCCCCATAGGCGAGGTTGGCCCGCTGAATCACCGTGGCAACTGCCTCCTGGTACTGGGGTGAGGAGGTGGCCAGCAGGGGCAGGGCCGCCAGGGGGATGTGGTCCTGGCTGCTGGACAGACAGCCTCCGTCGTGACTGTACGGGCTGAGGCTGGGGGAGGGGCCGGTCAGGACAGAGCAAGTGGCCTCAGGTCAGCCCCAGGAGCCAGTCCCCCTGCCCTGAGCAGCAGCCAGGAGCCGCCCGCCACCCTGACTGGCAGCCTCGGGGGTGACTCGGCGAACTGGTGGGGCTGCTTCCAGGTCAGTGCCTGGGCAGGCGCGGGAACAGGGCCGGGCAGGAAGGCCCCCGGCTTGGGGGCGGGCGAGCATCCCCACATGGGGACACTGAGGCTCGGTCTCGGGCCCCAGCCCTCCTGACTCCATGCCCAGCCACCTGCACCGATGTCTGCCTCCTCTGGGCAGAACAGACAGGCGCCCGACCGGGGGAGTCGCGTGGCCCCCAGGAGGGGAGGCAGGTGGCCGCGGCCTGGCGCACTCACTTGGAGACCAGGGCGAAGGCATCGGAGCAGACGGGCGGGCAGGGCACCAGGCGGATGGCGAGGCGGCCCAGGGCGCTGGGGTAGTGCACGCGCATGACGGTGTCGAACACGGTGGCCATGGTGTTGGCGTCGCCCTGCTTGGAGCTGGGGTCCCCGGCGCCCGTGTCCAGGATGGTACCTCCGTGCAGCACCAGCAGCAGCACGTGGGTCTTGGAGGGCGGCATGGCCAGCGGCGGGCTGACCTCGTCCTGTGCAGGCGAGGGGCGGGTGTCAAGGCCCCTGTCACCCTGTCAAGGCCCCCTTGCTCCTTCTAAGAACCCCGATTCCAGTTGCACAGCCTGGCGTCGGCTGCCTCCACACCTCCCCTGGGGAGGCTGAGGCATTCTGCTCTCGGCGGCCGGTCTGACCACGGCAGAGGACACCGAAGGGGTGTCTAGTTCTCCAAAAGCACACACTCCACTTCCGTCAGGGGTCCAGGCGGGGGCTGCTGGCCCTCGGGGTGCCTGTGTCCAGGCACAGGTCTGTCTCAGTCCCGGCAGGCAGGGCTGTAGCCGCTCAAAGTCACAGGGTCACTTAAGAGGGGCTGGGGTCAGGGCCTCAGCCCGGCCACTCTGCCGGCCGCTATGAGCTTTCCCTCCACCTACCTGGGGCCTCCTCCCCAGCCCCAGCCTCAGCCCCAGCCCCCAGGCCCCGCCACTCCTGGACTCTCGACATGACCCTGTTCCCAGGGGCAGAGATGTCCCTGCAGTGGCAGAGCCCCAGTATCTCAGAGTGGGGAGGGCACCGCAGGTGTGTCTGTCTGAACCCCCTCATTTTGGGGGTAAGAACCCTACCTCCTGCTGTCAAGCCTGCTTGCGAGGTCCAAGTGAAACCTGAGCCTTGCATATATCCCCATTGGGGGCTTTTCCATTTAGAGGTGGTGGCGGCTCAGAGAGGCCAAGGGACTCGTCTAACGTCACACAGCACGTCAGTGCCGAGCTGGACTGGAACCCAGAGCTCCTGACACCCCAGGCTGTGGTCCACCCCCAGGGGCCTCTCTCTGTACCCAGCTTCTGGTGTGTGACGAGGGAGGCCCGGGCCCACGAGGGGTCCCTAGTGGGCACAGCTGAGCCTATAGTACGTCAGGAGGTGGGGTGGGGAAGGGAGTGGGATGAAGAGAGGGGCTCGCCCCCAAGGAACCAGGGAGACAGACCAAGAAGCTGAAGCCACCTGGAGGGCACATGTGGGGGCACCTGGCCCTGACCTGGGCCACTGATGGCAGGAGGTGGGGTACCAGCAGGACCCAGGTGTCCACACAGAGCCTGGAAGAGGGGCTGGTGAGCCCACCAGGAAGGGCCCATGCCGCTGACCAGCAGAGGGCTTCGGGCAAGTGAGGGGGGACTGGGCAGTGGGGGGCCAAGGGAATCCTGTCTGCGTCCCCTCTGCTGGGACTGTTCAGGAGCCCTGAAGGCCCGTCTCCCCCTTTTCCCTGCTTCCTGTGGGGCAAACCCTGCTGGAGACGTGAGCCCAGTGGGAGAGCCCACAACACAGGGCGACGGGCCCTGAAAAGCCAGGGGACCTGTCACTGTCTCTGTCAAGCTGCTCCCTTCCACAAGGCTGGGAGAGGAGGCTCTGGTTTGGGGGCTCTTGCCAGCAACGGGATCCGACTCCGGATGGCAGCGCCCAGAACCGAGCTGGGCCGGAATGCACACCCTCGGCCGGTCTCGCGCCGAGGCCCCTCTGCCCGTCCCGGGGCCGTCAGAGCTGTGTGCGAGGTGGGTGCGGAGGGGGCCCCGACTGCTTGATCACCGTTACCCAGCCGCTGGACGTCAACACCCCAGTGACTCTGCTAGAAAAAGCCTGTTGGACCTCAGACCTCAAAGCGGAAAACCCAAGGGGGGGAAGGGCAGTGTGGGAGCTCCTTCCCCCCACCCAGTCCAAACTCCCCAGGGGTCCTGAGTCTGCACTCTGAGGCCAGAGCAGTGTGGTGACCGCAGCGTGCGACCAATGACAGCCCCGCTGGGCCCTGGCTCCTGCCCCAAGTACAAACAGCTCTGACCGCCCACAGGTGGAGGAGGAGGGGCGTGAGCTCCCTGCACAGAACCCCCAAAGCAGACACAGGCACTCTGCCGAGACAGCTTTATTGGGCACTGGGAGTTCCTGTCCCCAGCACGGTGGCGGCCACGTCACTTCTGCCTAGATGGCCTCCGCTTCCTCCCCTTCCATCTCTTTTTCTTCAGACACTGCAGGAAGGCTGGGCACAGGGTGATCTTATTTTTGGTCTGGAATTTACAAGTTTCTCATTTTACTTTCCAGGGGTGGAGCTGGGTCGGGTCCTTCCTCGGGGGCTAACTACTGTCCCCGCAGGTTCTTGGGACAGCAGAGGGGGTGAGGGCCCCGGCCCGTGTGGACGTAAGTGAGGCGGTGGGTGCCAAGGTCTGTCTCCGTAGCCCCCGTGGGACCAGTCCTCGGAGCCCTGCCCCCGCCCTGCTAGCCCTGGGACAGCAGCAGCAGCACAGCCCTGGCCCTCTGCCACCCGGGTACCCACCTCGATGATGTTCAGATGCTCCACACTGGAGGCCACCCTGAACTCGGGTGCACTCTGGCGGTACAGACCGTCTGCAATGCAGAAGAGGGGGGTCCGGTGAGCAGAGGGGCGGCCGGACACCCAGGCCCACCAGCCAGACAAGCTGTGATGGTAACAAGCGGGGCCCGGGGTGTCCCTCACTCCACCTCACCGCCTCCTGCCCAGGAGCTGGGTCAGAGAGGAGGGGCCCGGCCCCCCGCAGCCGCCCTCCCGAGGCCCAGCAGCACCCCAGCCAGTTACCCTGCGTGTCCTGCGGCTCAGGGCTTTCGATGTTGTCCATGAGGTCAGTGGAGGTCCATCTGGTGATGTCCTTGGGGAACAGCCCCTCGGAGTCGGACAGGTCCTCTGGGGGGGAGGGGGGCCTCAGCGTGGTGTTCGGAAGGGGGGCTGGAGGGGCGGGCGCTGGGGGGCCTGCTCGGAGGTGGGGGCCTGAGGGGCGCTCTGGGGTCTCCCGTGCTTCTCCGGCCCGTGTGCCGTTCTGTGCTCGGCTCTGTCCTTAACAGGACGGACACACGGCCGCACACCCATGGGGCTGCTGCCTGACCTTTTCAAAAAAACTGTGGTAACGTTCACAGAACATAAAATTCACCACGGAAGCCATTTTAAAGCAGCATCTCGCACACCCACAGTGCTGTGCAAACACGACTTCGGCCTGGTTCCGGGATCGGCCTGGTTCCGGAACATTTCATCACCCAAAAGGGGAAACCTGTGCCCATTGGCTCACTCCCCTCCCCAGGCCTGGCCGCCGGCAGTCTGCTCTGTCTGCGCGGATCTGCCCGTTGGGGACGCTCCCTGTTGCCGGGATCACAGAACTCGTGGCCTTTTATTTTTTATTTTTATTCTTTATTTTTTATCCTCACCCGAGGACATTTTTGCATTTATCTTCAGATAGAGCGGGAGGGAGAAAGAGAGAGAAACGTCGACGTGAAAGACACATCAACGCGTTGCCACCCACACAACCAACCAGGGCCGGGGACAAACTGCAACCGAGGTCCGTGCCCTTAGCGGGAACCGAACCCGGGTCTCTCTGGCCCGCGGGCCGACGCTCTCACCGCTGAGCCACACCGGCCAGGGCGAACATGTGGTCTGTTACAGTCTGGCTTCTCTCCCTCAGCATCGGGTTTTCGAGGCCCGTGTGGTTTATGCCCGAATCCCAGTCACTGTCTGGAAGGACCACGTTTTGTTTCTCTGCTCATCGCTCATGTTCCTGACCGCCCTCAGCGCCGCCGTGAGCCATTCCCTCCGAGCCGCCCGCCACCGCGGGGTGGGAGGCAGCTGCCCGGGCTCTGGCGTGTGCTGGGCCCTGCCCCGGCCACGTGCTGGGTCACAGGGCCAACTTCCCTAGGACACTGCCCTTCTGACTTCTCCTGGCTTTGCTGCCGCTTCTCTTTGCCGGCTTGTCCTACAGTTTCTACGAGAGATGGGGCCTGTCCTCATGCCAGGGACACAGCCAGGAGGGGCTCTGCCTCTTGGCCTGGTTGGGGGGGGTGGTGCCCCAAACACCTTTCCCCACCCTCGGGCCAGCTCAGGAACCACCTGTCACCTGCTCTATGTCCCCACCCCAAGGCCAAACCAGGCACCTCCTTTTTGCCTGGACACCGACACCCCAAGTTCTTTCCCTTGAGGGTGGGCCAGTTAACAGATGCCGTAAGGAGGTGGCTCCCCTGGCCGCTTTCCAAGCCTTATAGGCGGAGGCTCTGGCCCTGCCTCCGCCCTGCTCTGTGCCTGGAGGCAAGTCCCTGTCCCTCTCTGAGCCTGTAACCTGCAAACTGGAAACCCAGCTCCCACACCTGTCTGCAGGCCCCTATTTCCTCGGGAGGGGCGGCCACGCTCCCCCCAGCACAGCCGGCCGCCCGCTTGCTGCCTGTGGTGAGGCTGGTGGGCAGCTCACGTCCTCTCTGCTTGTCTGCCTTTTCCAAAGTGTTTACACCGGGTGTGTGTTCACTTAACCCGGAAAAATAAAGTAAGGTCATTGCAAAAGAAATCAGAAAATTATAAGAAGTTATACTTTGATGAAGCTTCTTATGGAAATAAATTGATGCATGGAGCCCGGTGGGTGTGGCTCAGTGGTTGAGCGTCGACCCTGCACCAAGAGCTTCTCAGTTCGATTCCCGGTCAGGGCACATGCCCAGGTTGTGGGCCCGACCCCCAGTCGGGGGTGTGCAGGAGGCGGCCAGTGGATGCTCTTTCATCAATGTTTCTCTCTCTCTCCCTCTCCCTTCCTTTCTCTCCAAAATCAATGAAGAAAAAAAAATTTTTTTTTTTAATTCCCGCATGGAACAAAAGCCTCCTTCTGATTGTAAATCCATTTCTGGGGCGGTTCAGAGAACAGTCCCTGCCTGCCAGGTCCCATGTACAGCCTGACACCTGGCTGGGGTCAGCCTGAGACTACCGGTAGCTTCGCTCGTCCTCCTCCCATCCTCTGTGCCCAGCTGCTCACCTGGGACTTTCCACAGGTACCTGCCACTGTGGCCCACAGCCCCCACCTCTTGCAGACCCCCCGCCTCTCCCGGGAAGCCCCAGCGCCCGGCAGCCGCCTACCGCAGGCATCGAAGAACTCGTCGCCCGAGCTCCCGTCCGAGTCCCGGGCGATGCTGTACATCCTCCACTCCGAGATGCTGTGGCGGGAAGGGCTGGCTGGAAGGCAGAACCAGGCTGACGGCCCGCGGGCCGCCGAGGGGCGAAGGCCGGCGGGCGTGACGGGCCAGAGCGAGGGCCGGGAGGGCTCGGAAGACGGTGACGCAGAGAAAGGAGGGGTGGAGGGGCCCTGGCTCATCCTGCTGGAAGCTCCTGGACGCTCCCTCCCAGCCCACCTGGCACAGTGCAGTCATGTCCCGGAGGACAGGGTGGTGGGAGGGGTCAGGTGTAAGGCCCAATGGCAGTTACACAGGCCTGGGGCCACCCCTGCACCTCTGACCTGGGCCTGCCCGGGAGCCGTTCCTTACATTCTCCTGCGGCAGAGCTGACAGCGGGGACACGGGGCAGGGGCAGAGATGAGTGAGATAAAAGGTACCCACTCATATATTCCCACGACCCCTTCTGCCCAGAGGCCAACATGCCTGGCGTGGGAAAGGCTGGATCTGCAGAGGGGACCCCTGACTCTACGTGAGACACCCTGTTTTTCAAAACAGCCACGGTGCATTCACAAAAGTTTCCTCGGGAAAGGCCTTTCTCAGGGTCTGAAGCCTTCTAGGCTCCTTGGGCCGGCTCCCACTCAGGAGCAGAGACGCCCCCTCCTCAGTGCGCCGAGCGGGGCCCATTCAGAGCCCCTCTCCTCCTGGAACCCTGGCTCCTCAGAGTTGCAGCTGCTGGGTCCTGGGAGAGGTTGGGAGTGGGGTTCCCACATGGCCAGCCTATCTGTCTTGCCTGGGTTGTGGAGGTGAGTCTGGGGAACCTGCTAGAGGGGGGTGGGGCGCCCGGGGCTTCTCCTCCAAGCAGGAGGTCGGTTCTGACTCCCTGCAGCTGTGTCCCCAAGGTCACTTTCGGAGTTGGTATTACTGGCAGTGGCAGGGGGCTGCGGGCTGTCACTGGGGGGCACCCGTCAGAGCAGGGACCCTGCCGCAGGGTGGGGGCGGCGGGCTCACCTCCCCTCTTGGACGACCGTGAGGACTTGGAGGACGTGGACCACTGCTTCTTCAGGCCCCGGCCGGCCAGGGGCTCGCCGATGCTGCTGGGCTGGGGTGCCTCCCCGGGGACCTGGTCCTGGCCGGCTTCACCCTTGGCCAGCTCTTCGGCCCCCTCGTCGTCCTCGTTGAACCGGGCCATCTTTCGGGACAGCATGAGCTGGGCCTCCTTCTCCAGCTCCCGGATGTTCTCCATGTTCAGCCCGTACCACTCGTCCTGCCAACACCAGGCCTGCCGGTGCGCCCTGACCATCACCTTCCGCAGGCCTGCGCGCGGGGGGAGGGGGACAGGGACGCGTCAGGCGGCCCGGAGGCCCCGCACGGCGCAGCCTCCCGCCAAGCGCTTCCCCCGTGCCTCAGTTTCCCTCCTGTGAATGCAGAGCCTGGCTCACAGATGGCCTCCCTCGGGAATGTGTCTGCTCAGAGGCAACACCGATTTGGGAGGGGGTGCTTCTGCCTTGAGGCGGGGGGACGCGAGAAGGGGATTCCTGCGGGTCTCCAGCTTCGGGTGCACGTTCCCAGGGACGTTCCCATGGAAAATCAATTCACGTTCGAGGCAGCTTGGTCCTCCTCTTTCCAACAGAATATAGACGCATACAAAATGAGATAGCTTTCAGAGTATAAAAATAATGAAAGAACCATAAGGAGAGAAAGCAGATGGGGGCTGCCTAGGGTTGGGGTGGGAGGTGTGTGGGGGGTGACTGTGAAGAGGAATAAAAGATGCTGAGGTGTTAGAATGTTCTAGAATATACTAAAATTTATGGAACTGTCCTCTCTCTCTCCCTTTTTTGTTAATCCTCACCTGAGGACATTTTTCCATTGAGAGACACATCAGGTGGTTGCTTCCCACATGACCCGACCAGCGCCAGGGATTGAACCTGCAACCCAGGTCCATGCCTTGTTCTGGCACAGAACCCCAAACCCTTCAGTCTGCAGGCCAACGCTCTAACCTGTGAGCCAAACCGGCCAGGGCCAGAACCGTCCTCTTACAACCGAAGTGTGCGGTTGGTAGAATTGGGCCTGCCCTGTCCGATGTGGCTCAGCGGTAGAGCACCGGCCCTTGGACCAATGAGTTGCGGGTTCAGTTCCGGTTAAGGGCACGTGTCTTGGTTGTGGTTCATCTTTGGCCCTGGTCGGGGTCATGCAGGAGGCAACTAGTCAATGTGTCCCTCTCACATCAACGTTTCTCTCTCTCCCTCCCTCCTACTCTATCTGAAGATAAATAGAAAAATATCCTCCGGTGAGGATTTAAAAAAAAAAAATTAGGCCTCAACAAAGCTGCTTCTGAAACCATTCAGGAGATAAGCGTCCAGTCCCCACCCCCAGCAGGGAGGCCATGGAGCCCCCAGATGGCCCTCCCCCAAGGTCCATCCCTAATTCAGGGATGACCATTGCTTTTCTCCTCGGTTTCAGCACACAAATGTGACTTCCGACCCCACGGGCTGGCTGGCTGCACGTTGTGGACTTACACGTCTGCCGTGCTGCGTGCATGTTCCTGCCACTCGCTCTGTTTTTGGGGGGAGTTTTGGGTTTGTGACTGTATGGTATTTATTTGGTCGAAATACCACATTTTATTTATCCCTTCTCCTGCCAGTGGGCCTTTGGCTCATTTTCATTGTTTGTCCATTTGCTCCCACAAACCCGCTGCTCTGGACAGTGCACAGCATATGTCTGAGTTTCTGCAGGGGACGAGCCTGGGAGGGGTGTCGCTGGGTCTCAGGACAGGCATCTCCCCATCCCGGAGGAGGGCCGCTGCGCCCCCCAGCATCCTCTCTGAACCCCGTCCTTCTCAAAAGGCCCCCCTGGGGAAACCCTCTCACCCTCGCTCCTGGGAGGACTGTTGTGTCCTCGCCAAGCTCCGGACTGTGTGGCCTCAGGCATGCCACCCCCTGGGGGTCAGCCAGCACCCACCCTGAACAGACTGAAGAGACGCCCCTGCCCGGGGGTGCAAGAACGTGTGCTCAGGACGGGAGATCCGGGTTCAGGCCCAGCACCAGGCCCCTGTTTCCCTATAAGCAGGGTGACAGTGGCCACCCTCCCGGGTCACCGTGAGCTGACAGGACACGTGTGAAGTACACCACCACGAGTGTGGATCTGTTCACATCTAAGCTAAGTCCCTTGGCTCTGGGAGGCAAAAGGTGATGCCCAGGTGCCGCTCCCACACCGCCCGCCTCGGGCTGGGACAGGCCCCGGGCACTGACATGCCATGGCCTGGGGCCGGTAAGGAGCCGAGGGCTCTGGGGAAGGAGCACCCCAGTCAGCCCAGCCGGGCCAGGAACCCCAGGTGATGTGCTGGTCCACCGGCTCCTGGGCCCCCGCTCCGGCCTGCACGGCGCGAGGACCTGGGATGTCCAGCCCACGGGGGAGGCGGAGCTGGGCAGGGCCTTGGGCGCTGAGAGGGGGCAGCGAGCAGCAGGGGGTGTCCCCTGAGGCTGCTTCCCCGCGCGGTGTTGGGGCGCAGGGCCTCAGCTGCTGCTTTTTATTTTAAATCCTCACCCGAGGATATTTTCCTATTTATTTTCAAATGGAGTGGGAGAACCGAAGAGAGAGAAACACTGATGTGAGAGCGACCCGTTGATTGGCTGCCTCCCGCACGACCCCGACCAGGGCCAGGACGAACTGAAACGGAGGTACGTGCCCTTGCCAGAAATCGAACCCGCGACTCACTGGTCCGTGGGCCGACGCTCTACCCACTGAGCCGAACTGGCCAGGGCAAGGCCCACACTGCCTGAGGCCACAGGTGTGCGGAGGGGGTCCGCAGGTGGTCAGGTTAAAGCAGGCTTCGGGGTCCCCTTTGGGGAGTAAGCCGGGAACACAGAGCAGCAGCCCAACACAGAGGCGGCGGCGGCGGGGACGGGGCCGGCGCCAGGCGCTCACCCGTGTCGTGGATGAACCTCTCGATCTTCGACTGCATGCCCCAGTAGCGGAACTCCACCTTGCACAGCTTGTAGGCACACATGATGGGGAGCAGCTGCTGCTTGTGCTCCTCGATCCAGTTGTCCGACAGGGGCCCCCGCTGCGTCTTGGTCGAGCGGAACAGCTTGGGGTCCTCTTCCGTCCTGTACTCGTTGGGGGGCACGGAGTCCTTGACGATGTCGATGAAATCTGCGGGGAGACCCTGACAGTGGTCACTGCTGCCCTGACCTCCACCCGCTCCCTGGTCCCTTCTCCTCCCCATGTCCCGGCCACCTCCACATCCTTGCAGAGTTCTGGGCCTTGATGTGTCAGGGCTCAAGGCGGGGGGGGGCGGGGGGTTGCTGCTCTGGGCCACTCGGACCCGGAGCTCCCCCGACTGTGGGGCCTACGGCTTTCCTTGTTGCCTTTTCAAATCATTTCAGCAACCCCCCAGGTCTCGCGTGCATTCTACGCATCGCCAAAGCAGATCACTAAGGTGATGAGCTGGAGACACAGGGAACGTGGGGTGGGGGGTGGGGTAGGCGGAGGGAGGCCAGGAAAAGCTCCCCAGAAAGGTGGCAGCTCAGCTACTGCAGCTCTGTGAGGCGGACACTGTCCCATCAGCACTGACTGGACAGACGGGGTGGGGGGCCGCTGGGGGTCCTCGTGGGGAGAGGTGCCTTGGATTCGCAGCGTTCGTCCCCAGCCTAGTGGCTGGTCCCCTGAGGGGGACACTGCGTGTGGTCTGAAGGCTGCAGAGAAGCCTCCCAGACGGAAGGGAGGACACAGGAGGGGCCGGCCCAGGACAGCCCGGGCTGTGAGTAGCAGATGCCACGGGGCTGGGCACTCAGGAGACAGGACTGTGGGCTGGTGGGACCTGGGGAGGGGCGGTGGCAAGAGGAATGGCAGCCGCCCTTTGTCCCGTGCCTCCTCCCCGAAAATCAAAACACCCGCTGTGCAGGCTCTGAGGCTCCTGCGTTAGCCCGACTGGAGCAGGTGCTGAGAAAGAACCCAGGGCAGCTGTGTGGGGGTGATGGCACTTGGGGGGCTCTGCCCCGGCCAGGCCCCGGCTGTCTCATCTCCCTGGTGTGTTGGGACCGGGTCTAGGTTGCAGATGCAGCCTCGAGCTCCACCATGGCGGGGGGAGGGGGATGAACGTCCTACCCACAGGCCCCCGAGGGGAGGGCTGGGATCAGGGAGCATGCAGGAGGCCCCTGGAGGGAGCCCTCGGGGCTCAGGCCATGTCTGAGGCTGTGGGACAAGTGCTTCCAGAGGGCCTGAGTCATGCGGGTAGTAGGTGCCCCCCACAAACTCATATGCTGTTGTCCTGACTCCCCGTACCTCAGAATGCGACTTTATTTGGACATAGGTCCTTTCGAGAGGCAATCAAATTGAAACGAGGTCATTAGGGTGGCCCTAATCCAATATGACCAGTGTCCTCATAAAAGGGGGACATTTGGACCTGACTGGCCCGTGGGGAGAACGCCATGTGAAGACGCTGGCGGAGATCGGGGTGCTGTGTTTACAAGCCAAGGAACACTGAGGACCGCCTGCAGGAGAGCGGCCCGGAGCGGAGCCTTCCTCCTGGACCCAGAAGCAGCCACCCCGCTGACTCCTCCGTCCTGGCTTCTGGTCTCCGGAACTGGAGACCGTGAACTTCTGTGCTGAGAGCCGCCCGGCCGTGGCGTTTCCTTCTGGCAGCCCCAGGGGGGCTGATGAGGGTGCTCTCGGGGGAAAGGCCCTCATCCCCATCGGAGGGGCTCCGGGGGCCCTGGCAGCCACCCCCCAGGCGGCCGGGCACCTGCCTGGAGCACCCCCGACTGGCTCCTCTGGGCCCGGAACCCAGTTACAGACGGCTGGCTGCTCAGCTGCGTCTGGCCCGCAGACGTGTTTGGTTTGGCCAGCACGAGTTTATTTACAACGCTTTTTAATTAGTCGCTAACATTTAGGAATTGGGACATTTCACATGTAAATCCTGATTTCTGGCCTCTCTTGGAAAAGCAGATTTAACAATCAGGGCCCTTTCCTGCAGGCACAGTGGGCTGGAGGGAGGAGCGGCAGAGGCTGCCTTCCAGAGGGACACCTCCCTGCCCAGCCCGCTGTGCTCGGGCACAGCCTAAGATGGCCCTGGGCACACACGGGCACTCCTGGGGGTGGGGGCACCGCAAAGGGAGGGGCTCCGGGCTCTGGGTGTAAAAGGCTCTCGGCCTCAGGGTGCATGTCAGAAAAATGGGCCAAGAAGGCCTGTCCTGTCTCCCGGTGCCCCCCGCCCAGGGAGCGGTCCGGACCCTGCCAGGCCTGGAGACAAGGGGCCCACGGACAGGGACCCGCCCACGGCCCCGAAGGGCTCCTGCCCTGCCCGGCGTGGGAGCATCGCGGGGGCTGGTTACCGATCGTCAGCTGGTTCCTTTCCACGGGAGACAGGCTGAACACGTCGGGGTTTTCTCCGGCATCGGTTTTATAAAAGGTCTCAATGTCGATGGAGAATTTCTCCACAAAAGGGCAAGTGAATCTGTGGGGGAAGAAGAGTACCCATCAGGACCCGCGGGTGAAGGGGGTGGGTGTGGGTGGCTGGGCCAGGGCTGCGGGACCAGCGGGGCAGGAGGGAGGGGCCCCATATGCACCCAGGTGGGAGGAGAAGGCCGGAGTGCCCACCTCCCGGACCTTCGCCTTGTCTCCAGAACAGCCGAGGCCAGGCTGGGGGAGGGGCTGGGGGAGACAAGCACTCGGGTGGCATGACACCCTTGCCCCCGGTCCTGTGAGGAGTCAGGCCTGGCAACAAGGGAACAGCCCCCCTCTCTGGGCTGGGGGTGAGCTCGGAGGAGGAAGGTGCTGCTGGGCAGAGGAATGACCTCCTGGGTCCTCCGGCAAGCTCTGGGCCCTCACCGAGGGTGGGGAAGGGAGCCCAGGAGGCTTGTGGGGACCCCACCTGTGTAGCAAGTGGGCAGGCGGCTGGGTGCAGCCCCCACCTGTTCACTGGGCAGGGTGGGGCACAGAGTGAAGATCCCATAGGGGATCCAAAGGAAATCCTAGTTCAACACAGGATGTAAAGAAACACCATAGTCACTGAAGGTCTTGGGGTTGGAGGAAATTTGGGCCATCTGGTCAACCCTCAGGCAGGGTTCCCTCCCAGTGCCTGACCGTCGCGCATTCTCAGGTGAACGGTGAGGCTCGGTGCGCACTCCCTGAGCCTTCCCAGATGGTCCTCGCTGAACTCACGCCTTCCTGGCCTCCTCCCCTCGCATCCCTCTGCTGCCTGTCTCCTGAGGGGAACCCTGGGGGACCTTCAGGGCGCCCCTACCTGGAACAGAGGCTCAGCTCCCCAGGAGCCTGAGGGCAGGGGTTGAGCCGACCTGGAGAGCCGCCCCGGGACCTGTGCCCCAGGGCGCGTCCCTGCTCACCTGGTTCGTGTGTAGGGATAGGCGTTCCAGGACTCTTCCACCACCCGCAGGGCGGCCTTGGGCAGGATGGAGCGGAACCAGCTGGGGATATGCATGCCGATGTGGTACACCTTGTGCGTGTACTGCCCAGAGCCACCAGGGCCGTCCGTGTACGGCCGGTTCTCCAGGATCTCCACGCCGCTGCCTTCGCCATACGTCTCATCGCGGCTCTTTTTCTGTGGGGACAAAGGCACCGCCTGTGTGTGGGGGCCAGAGAACTCTGCAGGAGGGAAGGGACTCAGGACACCAAGCCCCAGAGTGCCGAATGGGAGGAGGGGCTCTGAACGAGGAGGCTGGCTCCTCCTGTGTGACTTCAGAACCCCTAAATCCAGACCCCAGTCCAGGTGCTCCAGGACCCTTGCAGGAGACTGAAAGGGCCCTGGTGCCCCCCGAGCCCCAACCCTGCACATGTAAACTCCTCCATTCTGACTCCCATGTGTTCCCAAGGTGAGGAAGAAGGCGGGATGTCTGCTGTCTCACCTCCGCAACATTGTACTGGAGGTTCTAGCCAGAGGAACTAGGCAAGAAAAAAATAAAAAGAAGCATCCCAATTGGAAAGGAAGAAGTAAAACGTATTTCCATTCACCAATGACGTACTCTCATATACAGAAAATCCTCAAAAGTCCCCTTAAAAACCTGTTAGACCGAACCAATGAAGTCAGCCAAGTTGCAGGATACAAAATCAACCCACAAAAACAAACACTGCAAAACAAAAATGAGAAAATTATTCCCACTTACAACAGCATCCAAAAGAATAAAATACTCAGGAATAACCAAGGCGGCAAAAGACTCGTACACTGAAAACTTCAAAACATCATTGGAAAAAAATTAAAGACCTAAATAAGTGGAAGGACATCTGTGCTTGTACACTGGAAGATTTAATATTGTGAAGATGTCGCCCGGCTGGTGTGGCTCAGTGGTTGAGCATCGACCCATGTGCCGAGAGGTCGCCGGTTCGATTCCCAGGCAGGGCACATGCCCAGGTTGTGGGCCCGATCCCCAGTGGGGGGCGTGCAGGAGGCGGCCAACTGATGTTCTCTCTCATCGATGTTTCTCTCCCTCTTCCTTCCTCTCTTTCTAAAAGCAATAAAGAAAGATGTCAAGAGGGGTTGGGGGACTGGGTGAAAAGGTGTAGGGATTGAGAGGTACAGCTTGGAAGTGACACAATAGTCATGGGGATATAACATACAGCATGGTAAATACGGTCAATAATACCGTAATAATGACATATGGTGCCAGGTGGGTACTGGAAATGTCGGGGGGAACACTTTGATTATCGAACCACGATGCTGTACACCTGAAACTAATACAAAATAAGATTAAGTGTAAACTCTAACTGAAAAAAAAAAAATTAAAAAGAAAAAGATGTCAACACTCCCCCCACGCAATCCACAGATCTCATGTAATCTCTATCAAAGTCCCAGTGGCTCTGCTGTAGTAGAAATGGAAAAACTCATCCTAAAATTCATAGGAAATTGGGAGAGATCTTAAATAAGCAAACTATCTTTTTTCTTTTTTTAATCCTCACTCGAGGACATTTTTACATTGATCTTCAGATGGCGTGGGAGGGAAAGAGGGAGGAAGGGAGAGAGAGAAACATCGAGTGGCTGCCACCCACATGACCCCAACCGGGGCTGGGGACGAACTGCAACCGAGGTATGTGCCCTTAGTGGGAACCGAACCCAGGACTCTCCGGTCTGCAGGCCGACGCTCCAACCGCTGAGCCAAACCGGCCAGGGTGTAAGCAAACAATCTCAAAAACAAAACAGAGTTGGAAAACTCACACTTTGCTATGCCAAAGCTGACTATAAAAATACAGCGGTCAGACAAGGCAGCATCGGTACAGGACGGGGGGGCTAGCCAACAGAGTCAGAAGCCCAGAAGAAAACCCAAGCATCCATATCTGTACGCTGCATACGTGAATTCCCGGCAAGGCTGCCAAGACCCTTTACTAGGGAAGAACGTCTTTACGACAACGGTGCCAGACAACAGGCTGTCCACCTGCGAAAGAACGATCTTGGCCCCTACCTCACACCACATATAAAAAGATGGACTCAAATGGATCAAAGACCCAAATGTAAGAGTCAAAATTATAAAAGTCTAGAGGAAAACAGGGACCAGCCTTCACGACCTTAGATCTGACAGTGGTTTTCTTAAATATGATACCGGAAGCACAAGCAACTGAAGCAAAAAACAGTTTATAAAATGACTTCAGCCCGGCTGGCCGGTGTGGCTCAGTGGACGGAGCGTCGTCCCACAGACCAAGAGGTCCCGGTTTGATACCCGGTCAGGGCACGTGCCCGGGTGGCGAGCTCGAGCCCCAGTGGGGGGCGTGCAGGAGGCAGCCAATCGATGTTTCTCTCTGACATTAATGTTTCTATTTCTCTCTCCCTTCCTCTCCCTCTAAAAAAATCAATTAAAAAATATTAAAATGGACTTCATCAAACATTTAAAACTTTTGTGTACCACAAAGAAAGCTAAAGGACAGCCCACAGAATGGGAGAAGATTTTTGTAAATAATACAGCTGGTAAGGGGTTTGTATCCAAAATACATAAAGAACTCTTATAAGTCAAGAATAAAGCTGCAAATGAACCCATTCAAACGTGGGGAAAGGGCTTGAGGTATACCTAAAAAGGTATACAAAGGGCCAACAAGCACATGAAAAGACATTCCACCTCCTTAGTTATTAGGAAGATGCCAATCAAATCCACACCGGGACCCCACTTCGCACCCATTCAGATGGCTAAAACGGCAGTGCACGGTGTCTGTTGGCGAGGACGTGGGGAAACTGGAACCGTCATGCATTGCTGGTGGGAATGCAAACGGTTCGGTCGTGGAAGACAGCCACGGCAGCTCTGCAAAAAAACTGGACACAGAGTGACCCCATGACTCAGCAACATGACTCAGCAGCTCCGCTCCTAGGTACAGACATCCAGGAAAACGAAGACACACATCGACACACGAACTGGTACACGCGTGTTCGTAGCAGCACTATTCACAGCAGCCAGAAGGTGGAACCAACCCACATCTCCACGAACGGGCAAACGGAGAAACAAATTAAATCCACACCACGGAACAGGATTCACCCACGAAACCGCAGCGCTGACCCCTGCTGTGACGTGGATGAGCCCGGAGAACAGCATGGGGAGTGGCAGAAGCCAGACACAGGTTCTGTACCATCCGACTGATGTGAAACGTCCAGAACAGGCCAATCCACAGAGTCAGAAAGCAGACTGATTACCGGCTGCCCAGGGGTGGGGGTGGGGCGAGGAATGGAAACATCACTTTTTTTATATATATATAGATTTTTATATAAATATATATATTTTTTTCTTTATTGATTTTAGAGAGAGAGGAAGGGAGAGGGAGAGAGAGATAGAAACATTGATGAGAGGGAACATCGATGGGCTGACTCCTGCATGCCCCTCACTGGGAATCACACCCACAACCTGGGCATGTGCCCTGACCAGGAATTGAACCGGCAACCTCTTGGCGCAGGGTCAACACTCAACCGCTGAGCTACACGGGCCTGGCAAAAACAACTTCTTTATGAGGAGGTGAAAATGTTCTCAACCTGACTGTGGTTCCGTAACTCCATGGACAGACTAAAAACCACTAAACTGTACACCTTAAACGTGCGAATTGTGAGGTGTGTGACTTACATCTCCATCAAGCGCGTATAAAACAAAACACACAAGCACAAACACCGACCCTGCCTCTCCCACTGTCGGATTTCAGAAAGTTCGAGCGTGGGAGTGGAGCGGGACCTCGGAGCCGCCGCCTGGGCAGCATGAAGCCCGGGCCACCTCTGAGTCTCTCTGCTACACACGTCCTTCCCCGCGTCCAAAAGCTCAGGTTTCTGCTGATGCAGAAAACCTCACCGAGGAGATGCTGGTGACTTTAAGCCTAGCATCTGTTTCCATGGTGATGTGACAGCACCGCCAAGGCCACCTCCGGTCAGCTCCCTGGACGACAGGTGCGCACGCTCACATCCCCCCCCCCCGCAAGTGCACACACCTATGCACACACATGTGTGCATGCACACGGGTACCCCAGGCAGCACTGCCTGTCCCCTGGGGCACAACACTCTCGGGGGCACACATGCCCAGGGCAGGGCCTGACCTGTGGCCCTTGCCCACTTTGCCAGCCCAGGCAGGCTGGAGAGCCCTGCCCTCTCCCTCCTTGGAACCTGAGGTCGTGCGGGAGGGGCCTGAGCCACTTGGGCCTGGTGCAGGCAAAGTGCAGAGCTGATGAGCCCCGGATCCTTCAGAAACTAGAGGCTCCGGGGTAGGTGGGCTGATGAAGGGGGTGGGGGTGGGGCAAAGAGCAAGAAACCCCAAGGCACCAGCCCTCAGAGCTGTCCAGGGTCCTGGCCCAGTGCCTCAGATGGTCTGCTTTGAGCTAAGCACTCGCTGGGCCTCTTCTAGACAGAAGGCTCTCTCCCAGCCAGGCCAACTTTGTGTGTTTTAAAAACCTTCAAAAGTAGCCCTGGCCGGTTTGGCTCAGCGGTTAGAGCATCGGCCCGCGGACCAGAGTTGTGGGTTTGATCCCAGTCAAGGGCACGTACTTCAGTTGCAGTTCATCCCCGGCCCTGGTCGGGGTTGTAAGGGAGGCAACCAGTTGTTGTCTCCTCTCTCTCTCTCTCTCTCTCTCTCTCTCTCTCTCTCTCTCTCTCTCTTCCTCCCACTCTGAAAATAAATGGAAAAATATCCTCGGCTCAGGATTAAAAAATAATAATAAAAACCTTTAACACATACACTGCACACTCGTCAGGCATGGTACGAGGCGAGGGACACGTGAACTCACCCCATCTTGTTCCCAACCACCCGGAGGAGGCAGCTGGCTCAGAGGGTGGACCGTAAGCGAAACTAGTGGGAAATGAACGAAGGTCTTGCTCTTCTTCCCCCCAACATGCAGCTGCCTTCCTTGGAGTCTGTCCATCTCCTAAAGCCCGCGACGCCCGTCCCCTGGACCCTGCTGCTCCCAAAGACAGGAGCGTGTACACCGCTCAGCCCACGGACACATCTGTAGGGCAGGGAGCGCTCCCCATGCATCTCTGTCACCCAGCCCTCGGCCCAGGCCGGGCACAGAAGAGTCTGGTGAATTGAACCTATTAACAGCTCCACTGAGGTCTGACTGATGAAGGTTAGCACCCACGAAACCGTCACACACTGGAGATAATGCGCTCGTCTGTCCCCCACACGGCGGATGGAGACCCTGGGAACTCGGGGCCAGATAGAGGTGAGACCAACGTGGGCTCAGGAGGGGGCGTCGGCCCGAGAGGGGGAGTCACACGGGCAGCCCTGGCCCTAGGAGGCATCTCCTGGGAGACCATGGAGGGCTTATATTCATTGGAGGCACAGAGATAGATGCTTAAAAAAATACTTCAAGCCCTGGCTGGTTTGGCTCAGCGGTTAGAGCGTCGGCCTGCAGTCCTGAGAGACCCGGGTTCGGTTCCCGCTAAGGGCATGTACCTCGGTTGCAGTTTGTCCCCGGCCCTGGTTGGGTCGTGTGGGTGGCAACCACTTGATGTGTCCCTTTCACGTCAATGTTTCTCTCTCTCTCTCTCCCTCCCACACTCTATCTGAACAAAAAATAGAAAAAATGTCCTCGGGTGAGGATAAAAAAAAAAAACAAAAAAACCTCAAAAGTGAGCGAAGAGGGTGGGTGTTTCTGAGGGGCCCAGAAGGGATCAATGTCTGAAAGAGCTTCGGAGACTCTGGCAGCCCCTGAGATCTGGGTCCAGCAGGGCAGGTGGCGGGGGGGGGGGGAGGGGGGCTGCCGCTGTGGTTGGGGGCTCCCTTGGCTCGGGCGGGAACTACAGAGCCACGGGACCAACAGCTGCTGTGGCGGACCAGCCTGGCCCTGGAACAGGCCGAGCGATTTCCGGGGGCTCAGAGCCGGGCGGCTGCTCTCGAGGAATAATTACGGGGTAAGTGGCTCAGGAGGGAATTGAGTGGCGCTTCTGAAGCAGCTTGGAGCGAACAGCCCCCCAGAGAGGCTGAGTTTGCCTCTGTTCTCGTCCCAATCAAGCGTCCCTCGTGGGGAGCCGGCTCAGACTCGCGGCTTCACCCCGCTCCTCTCAGGAGGAGGCTGGGGGCCGAGACCTGCAGGGAGCCCGGGCTCTGCAGGGCCCTCGTAACTACCGCCCCGGATCTGCGTGAAGGGTGGGAGCCGCCCAGCAAGCCCAGGGAGGCCCCGCCGGCCTGGGCTCTCCCTGCTCCGAAGGCCCTGCACGATCGCTCTGTGACTGGGGGCGCAGCGTGGCCAGAGACTGGGCTGAAGCATCCGCAGGCCCGGGGGAGCCAGAGCCGGGCCCAGAGCAGGTTTATAGTCAGACCCTCAAGTAGGAGGGCAGCTGCCAGGCTGGGCGAGGGGCCGGGGCACCAAGAATGAGCAAGAGGCTAGCAGGGACGCTGGGACCCCAGACAGTGAGCACTGTGGCCGCGTCTGGGCCACGAGCCGCGGGATCCTGGGCTCCAGGTCCTGCATTCCAGGTTGGCCAGGCCCTCGTCAGGGAGGCCAGCCATGTCTGGGGTGGGGTGGCACTCTCTGGCTTGCCACAGGAAGCTGTCACCTTCATACTCACACGTGACTTAAATCAGCCATGTAGCCATCGCCGCGGTTTCGCGGGAAGCCTAGGGTGGTACGAAAACGTGGACCTGGGAGGCGGGAGGCCGGCTGTGTGACCCTGGGCAAGTCACTCAATGTCTCGGGGCCTCGTACCTTCCCGTCTGTTAAATGGGTTGTTATGGACTGAATTTCTGGGTCCCACCCCCTCAACTTCATATGCTGAAGCCTAATCCCCAGTGTGAAGGTATGAAGGGGTCAGGCCTTAGGGAGGTGATCCGATCATAGGGGTGGCATCCCCATGATGGGATTAGCACTCTCCTAAATTTTTTTTCTTGATTTTCAAGAGAGAGGAAGGGAGCGGGAGAGAGAGAGAGAGAAACATTGATGAGCGAGAACATCGACTGGCCGCCTCCTGCATGCCCCCCACTGGGGATCGGGCCCACAACCTGGGCATGTGCCTTGACCGGGAATCGAACCAGCGACCTCCCAGTGCATGGGTCGACGCTCAACCACTGAGCCACACCGGCCGGGCAGATTAGGGCTCTTATAAACGAGGCCCCAGAGAGCCCCTCCGCCCTCTGCCCTGAAGGTGCAGCAAGAAGGTGGCATCTGTCAGCACCTTGACCGTGGACTTCCCAGCCCCCAGAACTGTGGGAAATGAGCACCCCAGTCTGGGGTATCCTGCTCCAGGGGCCGAGCCGACTAAGCACGAGGATGGTCCCCGGTCACCGAGATGATGGGTGTTAAATGCCGAGAGGACGGTGCTGGGGGGATCGTCACCGTCACAGACGGTGGAGTGCCGTGTGGGCCTGGCGCCGTGCTTGCCAGCCAGCCCGTGACCGGCAGCCCAGTGGACAGACACTGTCCAGTCCCACCACGCCGCCCAGTCCCACCTGTATCATGTAGAGCTGAGCGATGCGGTACTCCTCCACGGTCATCGGCAGAGGGATCCGATACTCCTTTATAATCATCTTGGAGTCCGAGCCTTCCCGTTGATGGGAACTGCGCGCTGGGACGTCTAGGTGACGCTCCTTAAACAACCATGACAAAATTCACCAAAGGACCCCTGGGGGAGAGAGAGGACAGGAAGGTCACTTTGTGCAAAGGCTGCGGGGATGAGAACACGGAGGAAGGGCCTGCTCCGGACCTGAGGCTGGCGTTCTGGTCTGGGCTCTGCCATGAGCCCATGTAACCTTGAACAGGTCCCCTCCACCCCTCCCCCAGCCTCCATTTTCTTTCTTTCTTATTATTTTTCTATTTTTATCCTCACCCAAGGACATTTTTGCTTTTATCTTCAGATAGAGCGAAAGGGAGAGAGGGAGGAAGAGAGAGGGAGAGAAACATCGATGTGAGAGAGAGACATCAACTGGCTGCCACCCACACAACCCCAACCGGGGCCGGGGATGAACCGCCACTGAGGTACGTGCCCTTAGCAGGAACTGAACCCAGGACTCTGGTCCATAGGCCGACGCTCTAACCACTGAGCAAAACTGGCCAGGGCAGTCTTTCTTATTATTTTTTTTAGAGAGAAGAAAGAAACATCGATGTGAGAGAGAAATCGATCAGTTGCCTCCCGTATGTGCCCCGACCAGAGATCAAACCCGCAACCTGGGTATGTGCCCTGACTGGGAATCGAACCCGCCACCTTTTGGTGTACAGGATGATGCTCCAATGAACGGAGCCACCCGGCCAGGGCCCCGGCCTCTGTTTACCTTGTGTGCTAAGCAGTCAGGGGTACGGGACATGCACAGGCTCTGACAGCCACAGGAAAACAGGGGGCTGTTATCCCACCAGCAGGGACGCAGGCGGACCCCAGCCCGCTGAGGAAAGCAGGCAGTGTGGCTTGTGTGTCTGTCTGCCGTCCCCTGAGTCCTCCTGCCCAGCAGCTGAACCCTCAGACAATCTCATTACGCTCATCCGGCCGCCTGGGCGCGCGGCAGACACACATTTCATCGCCGTCCCCGCTGCCGTCGGGATGGGTTGGACAGAATTATATTTTACTGCTCTGCACAGGACAGACTGGGGGGCCTGGCACGGCAGAGGGAAGAAGGAAAAATACAAGCCTGAGAGGCCCTTCCAAGAGGGAAGCCAGGCAGGGAGTCGTGACCAGGACACACACGCCCCACCCAGGAGCACGGCCCCACGGCCCCACGGCCTCACGGCCCCACCTCCAGCAGGACAGCGCTGGACGCTCCAGGGAGCCTCACCTGCGGCATCTGGCCCCGATCTCTACAAAGCCTTGGGCTCCAGAACCCCTGTATTCATGACCCTAGAAAGGACCCCAGGCCCATGTTCACCAGTGTCTCTGAGTGACACACCACGCCAGACTGGAGGCCACCTGGCCACCAGACAGACCCTGGGGGGCGGGACCAGCCCGGGATAAGGTGCAAGGCCTAGCTTCATCCTGCCTGTGTCAGGAGCCCTGGCCTGGACGTGGGGCGTGGGGGGTCACCCTTCTCGCCCTCAGGCAGCCTGTCCAGCCAGATCCCATGACGGGAAGAGCAAGGACAGGCCTGTCGCTGACCGAGAACACCTGGCACCGCCAAGGGAATCAAGGGCGGAAGGCCAAGGTCGTCAGAGACCCTCCGGGCATCATGGGGAGAAAGGCCACATCCGGGCAGCGGGACCAGCTTCCAGCTCGGAGGGGCGGGGTGGCCAGGCTGGAGCGGCTGCCGTGAACACGGCGGGTTACGGGGTCTGGCTCGGAAGGGCGGGCGGGCAGGCAGACGGCGCAGGCAGGACGGGCGGACGAGTCCTTGCAGCAGAGGCCGTGGCGAGACACCTTACCTGGGAGCGAAGCAAGGCAATGGTTCACAGAACCGAATCTGCGTTTCCACGACCAGCCGGGTTTCCCGTCACGGGTGGGAGTCGGGAGGGAGGCTGTGCGGGGACAACGCGGATGGAACGGGGACAACGTGGATGGAACATGCCCAGACACAATTCAGCTGCATTCTGCCCTTTGCGTCTGGAGCTACTCCAGGCGGGCCGGGGAGGGTGGGGGACTCCCTACACACCCGCGGCTGGGGAGGCGGCTGGCGGGGAGCTGGGGCACCTGGAACGCCCCTCTGGCTTCCTGAGGTCTCTCCTCCACTCTCCCCAGGAAAGCCCCCTCCCTCTGCCGCCTGCTTCCCAAACCCGCTGGTCCCCATCAGGGGCCGGAGAGGGTAACAGTCAAAGAACTCCCTCCCCCGTCTAGGAAGGCAGCTCTGGATGCACGGAGAGGGCCGAGGGCCGAGGGCAGTGGGGGAGGAAAGGGGCAGTTCTCTGAGCCCCAGGGCCCAGCTGCTGGCCTGGGTGGGGAGGGAGTGTGTGTGAAGTTAACACAACCGCTGCCTCTCTGTCCCGAGGGTCAAAGCAGGAGTAGGACCAGCCCCCCAGAAAGTCTGAGCTGGAAGGAGCTTGGCGGGGGTTAGGGGGCTGCCCCGAGTAGTTTCTTTCTGTTAGACACTGGACTTCCACCAAGGGGACCCCGCTCCAGTCCAAACATCAATCTACGAACGGGGCGTACACCTGGGATTTCGCAGGTGGGACCAGCTGGAGGTCCTGGCACCCCCCTCACATCCTGCACCCCCTTGAGAGGAGGACAAAGTCCTGGGCGCCCTGGCAAGCCACTGACATTGCAGGGTAGGCACTAAATCTCACGGTGGATGCCCGGGGTGCCAAGTTGGGAAGGACGGCCAAGCCACTGCGGGACTCGTCAGACCCGCGCGGGACAGTGGCCACCTGGGGGCACCGCAGTCTGCACTGCCCTGCAGGACTGGGGCCGCGCGGTGGGGGCAGGACCCCTAGGAAATGCTCGTAACACCCCAACCCAAACAGCACGGGGGAGGGTGGAGGGGGGCGTTTTGTGGCCTGGCACAGGGAGCAAAGCAGACTCCGTGAGGGCTGGCGTCCTGCTCAAGAACCCAGGGGGACGGGCACCCTGACTTTATGACTCTTACACCGTCCTCGGCTTGCCAGCTCGGGCCTGGATTCTCAGGCAAAGGGGAGCGGAGATTTGCATGGAGGACATTAACACTGAGACCCAGACTCGCCAGGTCCCCTCTGGGGACCCTGCTGGGCACCCTACTACGAGCATCACCATGCTGGCCTTCGGGGGGCGCTCCCCACACCTAACACTGAGTACACCCCAAACAAGGCCGCGCCATTCCAACAAACACCACCGGACGCTTAGCCGTGACGACAGAAACAGAGGGACCTTGGCCGGCAGTCGGTTCCAAACTGTGGCTCACACAGCTGTCACCTGGGGCGTGTCCAGGGGACTTCTGTTCACGCTCCTGGTCACCTCCCCTGGGCGCTACCATCTCGGCGGCGGCACCCAGATCATTCTGTCAGCAGAACCTTCGTCCACTCCCCCAAGGTCCTGCGTCCGGGGCTCCCAGGAGCAGCAGGCCTCAGGAATGAGCACCCCTTTGGGGGAGAGTGCTTCTGAGGCACAGGAGGGGCAGCCCCCAGGGCTTGGCTGCTGGCTGTCCCTGAGCATCGCGGGTCCTCCTTCCCTGGGAAACGGCATCTGCAGGGCACCCGAGGGAGTAAGCGGTAGAACTGGGATCGTCACCAAAACTGGGGATGGCCCCTATCATGCTAATGACAGCATGATAATGACAGATACTAAACACTGGGGACAGTCCCAGCTTCTCGGGCCAGCCTGGGCTCCAGGTTTTGACCGCACGCCTGGATGGGCAGCACCCAGTAACCCTGCCACACTGACCCAGTCCCTGGACCCCACACTGCCTACTTCCCACCCTCCCCTGATCTCCTTTTGCTTTCTTCCCTAAAATTCCCACAGTCAAATCCACCACCTACCTGCACCGGCCACTCCCGGCACAACACAGGAACAGGCTGGCCGCCTGGGAGGAGGCTGACCTGCCGATCGCTCCACCTCCTGTGCACTGGGTTCCATTCTCGTTATTCTAGAACCTTCTCTGGCCGTTAACGCTCCCCCATCAGTTCCTGTCCCTCTGGGGAAGCCCCACCCCCACCCATCAGCATGCAAACTCAGTAATAGCTTGGCTCTTCACAAACACCCAAAACCGACACCTCTCACAAGCTCTTTATTTTTTAAGCTCACTTTTTTAAATGAATTGACACTTAACATTACATGCGTTTCAGGTGTACTACATAATGATTTGACCCCCCTCCCCAACCCTACCTCCCTCTTGGTACCACCCCATTTCTCTGTTCCCCTTAAGGGTTTGCCAACCTCTCTCAACCCACCACTCTGGTGAAATGCCACCGGCCACGGGTGGCCTCTGCGTGGCTAAGCGGGGGGCCCCGTTCTCAGTCTTCGTATCCAGTAACCCCCCCCCGTTTCACACACACTGGTCAGCAGACAGCACAGTCTGGACGGGGCTCTCCTGTGTGCTCAGCCCACCCCCAGCAAACCTCCGCCCGAGCCGACTGCGTACAAGATTCTAGCACCGAGCTCCGAGCAGCCTGTCCTGGGCCTATCAGCCGTCTGCTGCAAATTACGATATTTTTGTTGTTGCAAAATATGCAACAAAAGGCTGGTCTTGTGCGGCTTGTGAGTAGCCCTGTGAGACTGACCTCAGATCTAGAAGGGCACGAGACCCATGTTGGGGTTTCAGGAGACAGTGTCCCTAGCCCTGTCCCCTTTCACCCACCCTACTCATGGTACCCCAAGCCTCTGCATCCCCAGGGTTCCTTCTGCAAAAGCTACAGCCCAACGGGCCTGGGCCCAGCACGTTCTGGCTGTCAGAGTGGAGCATTAAACCCTTTAGCTTGTAGAAATTGCCCACAGTGCCCTGTAGTGCCCATACAACCAAGGTCCCCAAACTTGCAGGACCCCAGCAACCAATAGGTGTGTTCTCGAAAGATCCAGACCCAAACCCCAGAGCTCTCCCTTTGGGGAGCACACCCAGGCCTCTCCCTCCCCCTCTGCTTCCCCCGGGCACCTTACCTTTGTGGTCCTCTCTCCTGAGCTCCACGGGCCCTTCTTTTGCTTCTGTGACTTGTCTCCTGAGCCCATGCAGCCCAGCTGGCTCACTTCTACCACCTCTGAACTTTCTAAACAAACTTTCTCTTATACTTTGAAAAAAAAGAAAGAAAGATACTGGCTCAGAGCAACTGAGAGGCCACGGCCTTCGCCCCGCATCTCCCTGCACCCCGGGAGGAGGGCGCAGAAGGAAACGCACGGTCCGCCCTGTCCTGCCTCCCCCGGGGCCCTCCCAGGGTCTCCCACAGCCGACACCCGATGCCCGACTGGAGAACCAGACCTTCTGCTCGCCCCTCTGGCTTATAAATCCCTGCAATCACTTCACATACGCAGGCGACATGAATAAATTATGAGCTCCTCAATCCTCACAACAGCCTGGAGGGAGATATACGGCCCCCACTTATCTATCTGTTTGTTTTATTGAGATGTAATTCACACACCGTGCAGTTCACCCTCTAAAAGTGTACAATTCAACGGTTTCCATATATCCACAGAGCTGGGTAACCACCACCACTGTCTGATTCCAGAACATTTTCTCCCCCCAAGAGGAAATCCCCATACTCCTGGGCACACGCGCTCTGTTCCCACACCCCACACTCCGGGGGCCCCCGACATCCATTCATCTGCTTTCGGTCTCTGAATTTGCCTCTTCTGGAGATTTTATCTACATGGAATCATCAATTATATGTCCTTGGTGTCCGGCTTCTTTCACTCGGTCTCATATTTTCAAGGTTCATCCGCGTTGTAACGTGTCAGGCCCTCCTTGCTTTGTACGGCTGAACAATGTTCTACTGCGTGGCTGTGACGTCCATTTTTTACACTGATTTTATTATTATTATTATTTTTTATCCTCACCCGAGGACATGCTTCCATTTTTTGTTCGGATAGAGTGGGAGGGAGAGAGAGGAAGAGAGAGAGAGAAACATCGATGTGAAAGGGACACATCGAGTGGCTGCCACCTGCATGACCAACTAGGGCCGGGGACAAACTGTAACTGAGGTACATGCCCTTAGCGGAACCAAACCGGAGTCTCTCTGGACCGCAGGCCGATGCTCTAACTGCCGAGCCAAAATGGACAGGGCTACACTGATTTTAGAGAGAGAAAGGAAGGAAGGGAGAGAGAGAGAGAGAGAGAGAGAAACATGGATTTGTTGTTCCACTTACTTATGTATTCACAGTATGTCCTCTGACCGGGGACTCAACCTGAAACCTTGGTGCATCAGGAGGGTGCTCTAATCAACTGAGCTACCCGGCCAGGGCCTATCACACCCAGTTTTGTTTGTTTATTTATTTATGTATTTATTTATTTATTTACTCGCTCTTCACCCGAAGATATTTTTCTATTTATCTTCAGATAGAGTGGGAGGGAGAGAGAGGGAAAGAGAGAGAAACATTGAGGTGAGAGGGACACATCGACTGGTTGCCTCCCACATGACCCGACCGGGGCTGGGGACAAACCGCAACCAAGGCATGTGCCCTTGGCCGGAATCAAACCCGCTCTAACCACCCTGCTAAACCGGCCAGGGCTACACCCATGTTTACAGCGGAGGAAACCGCGTCACTAAGGTACCTCACCCCCCGTCACTCAGTAAATGTTGGAATCAGATTTACCTTCTGCGGCCAGAAAAGAAAGCGCTTAAGAACTGAAAATCATCGTCTAAGTGTGTATCAGTCTACACGAACCTATACCCCAAGCATTGATCACAGAATTCTGTGGTTTACAAATGCTCTTAGCTTCGAACGCTTGCTCCCCCAGATCAATCCTACAAGGTAGCACAGGCAAGTGTGTCCATTTGGGGAAGAAATAAACAATGTAAGTGGTGTATTCAAGGCTGGAGAGACGCACGGATGGATAAATGGCAGCGGCACCCAAATCCGGATAGAACGTGAGCCCACGGGGCCGCGTCAACGCTTGCCACAAGGAGGCGTGGTCTGGAGAAGTAATTTTTGTTTTTCACTTTCAGATGATTTGGCAGTGAGTGTGAACACTACTTGGAACAGAGGGACAGCCCCATATAAACCCCCTCCAAGAGTAATTTCTTGGTTTTATCCTAATGTTTCCCACTGATCTTGGAAATAAAGGTTGATAGATACTCCTTTCAAAAGAGCGACTCCCGGGTCCAGCCCCAATCGACTGCATTACCGAAGGAGGAGGCTGTATTTTAACCCGTTCCCTGAGGGACTCGTCGGAACAGGAAAGTACGTCGAGGCTAAAATCTCAGCTCCATAACCAGGCCAGTAAGGTCCTTAAATTCTAGTCTCAACAAGAAATCTTACACAGGGTGCCCCTCTGAACCGCTTGTATCCAACGGTGTTTACTAAGCCCAATGTCGGGCTCTGTGCGCGTGCTGGGAGTCCAGGGAACCAAGACAGAGTCCTCGGTGCCTGTGGGCTCCTGGGGAAGACAGGCATTGCGAGAGCCGTCGAAGACCTGATGGGGAAGAATACCCAGCCTTAAAAATGATGGGGATTCAGCCCTGGCCGGTTTGGCTCAGCGGTTAGAGTGTAGGCCCATGGACCAATGAGCTGTGGGTTCGATTCCAGTCAAGGTCACGTGCCTCGGTTGTGGTTTGTCCCCGGCCCTGGTCAGGCTCGTACGGGAGGCAGCCCGTCGATGTGTCCCTCTCACATCGATCTTTCTCTCTCCCTCCCTCCCTCCCCCTCTCTCTGAAGACAAATAGAAAAAATATCCTCGGGTGAGGAATTTTAAAAAAAAGGGCGGAGACTCTGGCCTCTGGGCCCTGCCTGCCTATCTCACGACACGCTCACCGCCTGGGCCGCTGCCTTTTCTGGGAACGCGCCAGGCTGGTTGGCGATTCCAGGCTGCTGCAGTGCCTGCTGCACACCCAGCCCCCGGCCTTGGCACAGCTGGCTCCTTGTCGCAATCCAGGCCCCCGTCCAGATGCCACACACGCCCCCTCTGTGGGGCCTGCCCACTGCTTGGCTCGAGCCTCTGCAAAGGGCTGAGGTCCTCGCCTGCCCGTCTGCGCTCTCAGCAGGTGCTGGGGGGCGGGGCTCGGGCACTTAGTAGGGACTCAGGAAGGTCAGCTTGGCAAGGGATCCCCAAACCACCACCAGGCAGATGCTGCCACCGAGCAGCCAAAGTGCCGCTGCCAGACTGCGCCGCCGGCTGCCCCTCAGCCGCAGAGGGTCCGCCAGGAACAGCTCACCTTCCCCGCCGCGTCCCCAGAATCACCCACCGGCTTCTCCACCGCGGCTGTGACTCAGACTGTTCCGGAGCCAGGCCCGCCTTCCCGAGTGTGCGCAGGGGCATAAACCCCAGACAGACAGGCAGACAAAGTGTCCGTGTCCACCATTACCCACGGCAGGGCGGGGCCCCGAATGAGATAGGGCCCCGCGGGTGGCCCAGATAACCTTCCAGGGGCCGCCACCCCCTCTCAGATGCTCCCGATCTACAGTTTATCACCCTGGAAGCAGCCAGGGCAAGGCCTCAGGAGGAAAGAAGAGGGACCCAGTCACTTGACAAAGCCATAGTCAAGGGCAGAAGGCACTGCAGCACGCATGTTAGCGGCCGGAGGTCCACGGCCTGACCTACTGCGCCCTGGGGTGAGCGAGGTCCAGGTGTCTCAGGCTCCAACAACTGCGTCCGCATGTCCTACTCAGAAGGGAGCAAGCAGGACAAGCTGGGTCCTGGGCCAGAAGGCCTAGCTGGTGTCCTCAGGGGGTGGTGTGTATGCATGTGTGCACACACAAACTCGCATGTGTGCACACTCAAGCTCGCATGTCTGTACACACAAACTCCCATGTCTGCACACGCAAACTCCCATGTCTGCACACACAAACTCCCATGTCTGCACACGCAAGCTCGCATGTCTGCACACACAAACTCCCATGTCTGCACACGCAAACTCCCATGTCTGCACACGCAAGCTCGCATGTCTGCACACGCAAGCTCGCATGTCTGCACACACAAACTCCCATGTCTGCACACGCAAACTCCCATGTCTGCACACGCAAACTCCCATGTCTGCACACGCAAGCTCGCATGTCTGCACACGCAAGCTCGCACACGCAAGCTGTGCAGGTGAAGGGACCGGCCTGATTTGGGACAGCGTTTTCAACAGTCTCAAGGTCGATGCTGTCACCTGATCCTAGCATGAGGACCCCTCTGTTCTCAGGAACTGCCCATCGGCAACTCGTGGGTAGGAAGCACTGACCGAGGTTGGGCAGGAGTCCAGGTGAAGGGTTTGGCAGTCCAGGTGAAGGGTCCCTCAGCTGGGACCTAGGAGAAGAACCAGGATTCTTTGCTTTCTTTTTCTTTTTCTTTCTTTTTCTTTCTCGTCACCCGAGGACATTTTTGCATTTATCTTCATTCAGACAGAGCGGGAGGGAGAGAGGGAGGGAAACATCGACATGAGAGACACATTGACTGGCTGCCACCCACACAACCCCAATTGGGGCTGGGGACAAACTGCAACCGAGGTACGTGCCCTTAGCGGGAACTGAACCCGGGTCTCTCCGGACCGCAGCCCGATGTTCCAACCACTGAGCCAAACCGGCCAGGGCTCAGCCTTCTCTTCCCTTCTGCAAACTATTCCCCCTTCCTGCCTCCTTCTTTCAATTTTCAGTTCCAGAAAATTCCCCGCAATGATCTCTTCAAACTTGGCCTCTGGAGTATTTTTCTCGTTTCCTTCTGGAAATGTCCCTCCGTGAAGGTCCGCTGACCTGCTTCTCCACCTGTCTCGCCCTCTCTGTGGCTGCCCCGCCTTCCCAGCGCCACGTCCCGGGCGATTCCGTCAGCTCTGCCTTCTAGCTCCTTCCTTCAGCTCCGACTGTTCCAGAGAAACTCCGCGTGGTTCTCTCTCAAATCCGCTTCCCCACTGTCTAGGGCCTTGGCTTCCCCGCCAGTAGGTGCAGCTGGCCTTGTATTTGTTTACATGCAGCAAATGCAGTTCTCGCCGTGCGGTCAACGGTCCGGCTGCTCTGGAGGCCCGAGCGCCTCCTCTGCTCTTCTGCTCAGTTATTTTTGATTCTGAACCGCTCGTTTTTCGTGGAGGTTATTTGTAGAAATCCTGGGAGACTTCGGACAGGGTCTGTTTTTCCTGAGGAGAACTATATTTGCTTCGCCGCAGCCTGGGCTGCCCATCTGAGATCCCCTGAAGTCCCAGCTAGCGGCTCTTGGGACACCTTCCCCTTCTCCTGGTGTCCCTCCCAAATCGACAGTGAGCTGGTTTCCTGGGGCCGCTGTCACCAAGCACCTCTAACGGGGTGCTCCCGCACGGGGGGAGGGGGGCAAGGGCAGCCGCGTCCCCTCCATGTAGCTGAGCACCAGGGCAAGTCCTGGGTGGCACTCCGGTCACGGTGACATGAGCACCCCGGCAGGCCGCCTTCTCGCCGGAGTCGCCCGAGCCAGCGCAGACGGGACCTCTGTTCCTCAGCTCGGGCGGCCCGGCTCACCTTCCTTCGACCTCCTGCCCGCCCCTCACTGGCTGAGCGAACCTTTTTTCCCCGAAGGGCATAAAGATCAGTTTCACTCTGCCCCAAGGTCAAAACTGATTCCAGGTTCCCAATCTGTGGAGGTGATTTTCCTTTCTCTCGTCGTCCTGAAATCTCACAGGGGACCTTCTGAGACCACGTGGGGAGTCGATCGGGCGGGAAGGACGCGGCTGCTTGGGGGCGGAGGGCCGTGTCCCGGACATTCGCCACCCCTTCGTCGCGTGGAGACAGCCGTGAAATACGGGCACTTTCTGTAAATCTGGGGGGTCGCCCTGGGCTTCGAACCAACCTGCACCCACCTGCCTGGGGCCTGGAGTGACCTCCAGCGGTGCCACCACCAGCTCGGCCCGCCCAGCGCGCGCGGCGCCAGGCAGTGCGGTGCTGAGCAGATACAATACTTGGGCCGAAAATAGACCCAGCTCCCTGACATCGCGACGCAGCTTTGAAGGAACAGCAGGCTCCTGTGTACACAGCGTCCCGCTCTGCACGCCTGTTTGCAAATCATCACACAACGGCAGGCTCTGCTGAGACTCCCGTGTGTCTGAACCACTCCGAGGGGAGCGCAGGCTACGGGACCTTCTGATCAACTTCAAAACCAGACCCACCCCTGCAGCGGACCTGATGTGGGGACTCTCCTTCTGCTGGACTCCTTACCCCCCCCCATTCTGCTCCCCTCCCCCCAGGAAGCATCCAGGGCGGGGGACCTGGCGCCGGCGGCTCCCCAGGTGCCTCCTCCACAAGTGTCCCCAATACGCTCAATGCAATGACTTGAAGACAGACAGGCACACGTTTGTAAGATGTTCCTGGAAACCGCAAGCACAAAATGAAAAGAAACGGAGAGAAGGTAGACAGTGTCGCTTTCTAACTGTTCACAGCACCCCCCTCCCGTTCCCCCACTTCTGCTCCCAGGTCCTCCTGGCTCCTGGGACACTCCTCAGTCCAACCCCATCGCGCTTCCTTGAGTCAGTTCTGAGGGTCCCGGACGGAGTCCCGGAGCCTGGCCCCGAGGCCAGGGATCTGGTGGAGGGTTGGTGGAAAGAACAGCAGGCTGAGCCCGGCCGCCTGCGTGCGTCTCATAACTCTGGCCTCAGTTTACCCGTCTGGGAAGGAGCGCTCACACCTGAACTTTGCGGGAGCTCTCAGGCAGAGCTGGGACCCGAGTGGAGGCGTGGGGGCTGGTACCTCCGCTCACGTTGCCTGGGAGACAAACGGCGCTTCTATTTAGAGCGGCCCCAGAGAGCTCGTGCCAGCTCCTGCCGTGAGGGCTTCACTCGGGGTGCCTTCGGGGCCTGGGTCCCGTTCTCTGTGTCAGAACTCCTGACAACAGCAGGAGACTCGGGACCAGATCACCGCCTCCTTCCACCAGACCTAAAGTGGGCAAAAATCGAACTGCCCTGCCCTCCTCTTCCAGCAAGTCCCCCTGGGTTGACGGAACAAGGCACAGTCCTTCTGCCCTCTCCAGCCTGTGATGTGGACACTGCCCTCCCGGCCTCAGGCCAGGCGCTGGGGTAAACACCACAACCTGGGCCTGGGGATCTGGCTCTCTCCAGTCAGCCCAGCTGCGGGGCCACACACACCCAGGGGGCTCCCCCAGGATGTCATTAAGAATGAGGCCAACGGCCAGAGAGTGGAACGTACCCCAAAGTTTCCCCACAGGGCTTTGCAGGCCCAGAAGTTCCCTGTCCACTGAAGTCCGGCCCTTGGCCTTGAACAGGCCCAGGCAGGTGCGGACGGGGGTCACTGCTCGCCTGGACAGGCTGGAGGGCTCTGCAGCCTCGGAGCCCAAACTGGACGAGATGGAGCTCGGGTGGGGCGTGTGTCTGTCTCTAACGGGACCACTGGGAAGAGCAAAGTGGTCCCATGGATCTCCCACCCCATACGTGTTTACAAAGTGCCCTAGACAGACCCCCAGTGAATCGAGGGG